GTTCTTATTAGCCACACATAAGAAGAAATCTGCATAAAAGTAGTTTTAATGCAAATAATTGAATAGAATACTTTTCTGAATAACCTTCTTAATCTTTACAAGTTAATTATTTAGTTTCTATGTCTAGGATTGAAAGAAGTATAAATTTTTTTTTGGTGAAAAATATAAATTTTTATTTTATACATAGTAAAAGTTGCATGTTCTACACTTGTACTATATATTTTTGGAAATTTTGCTAATATTATCCTAAGGTCTCCCAGCAAAAAGAAAAAAAGAAAAAAGACCATGTCTCAGATAATTTAGAACTCATTAACACCATCACATACATGATGTCGCACGTAAATTCAACATCCATCGCCCTGGCTTTTCACTATTTATCTTATTTCTTTGATAAACTGTTAATAACATGTAATGTAGGAATTGAGCAGAAATGTTCTGCATCACCGGACGGTTGCACTTACGGGATTAAATACGGTGACGGATCCACCTCCACCGGAAACCTGGCTAACGAAACACTAACAATTACTCAGACCGACGTCGTGGACAACTTCCTCTTCGGCTGCGGCCATGACAACGAGGGTCTCTTCAACGGCACCGCTGGCCTCCTCGGCCTCGGCCGCAACGCCATCTCCTTTGTCCAACAAACTTCGGACATGTTCCACAGAATCTTCTCCTATTGCATCCCTTCCACCGCCAGTGAAGTTGGCTACCTCACCTTCGGCGGCGTACCCGCCTCCGACAACATCATTTACACGCCGTTTTCTTCCATCCCGCAGAGCCCCTCCTTCTACGCACTCGACCTCACCGGGATCTCCCTCGCCGGCTCCAGTCTCTCAATCCCCTCCTCCGTGTTCTCCTCTGTCGGCGTGATAATCGACTCTGGTACAGTCCTCACGTGGCTACCTCCGGCGGCGTACGGCCCCCTTAGAGACGCGTTCCGGAACGCGATGTCGAAGTACCCGATGGCAGGCTCTTTTGACGAGTTGGACACGTGTTACGATTTGAGTGGGTACGGATCTGTTGTCGTTCCGAAGGTGACATTGTCGTTTGGAGGGGGTGTGAATGTGGATCTGGACGCAAGTGGGGTTGTGTATGTGGTGAGTGAAACGCAGGTGTGTTTGGCGTTTGCTACGGATGAAGACTTGGTGGATATTGCTATTCTTGGAAATGTTCAACAGAAAACAATCGAGGTTGTGTACGATGTTGGTGGTGGTAGGATTGGGTTCAGACCTGCCAGTTGCGGTGGAAACAAATAGCCGGTTCTCTACCGGTTCTGCAAATCTCAATAGTTGCTGTGGAAATAAATAGCCAGTTCTCTGCCGGTTCTGCAAATCTCAGCCATCCAAATTTCATTTGAATGGTGCAGATTTACTTTATATATATCTTTACATTTTACTTTTTCTCTAAATTTTAGAATATGCAGTGATAAAGAAGTAATGTCAACTTTAAAATATATATATATATAATATATATATGGAAACAGCCGAATCGTGCTCTTTTGGCTGTAAGATCAGGAACCGCGTCCCGGTGTAACTTGCCAATAATTGCTTGCTAAAAGCAAAAGTTTCAGATTTGATTAAGAAATAAAATTAATAGATCAATCTGAATTATGAATAAGGATGTAAGCACTATCAAAGGTTTTGTCTTTCTTGTCTGCTTGAATGTCATTTATTTGTATTCCATTGTGGTCTTTTTTTTTTTCGCAGATAATTCTTCCCAAACTTCGTATCTATTTAAAGTCTGGTTTGGGGTGTGTCTTAAATTTAGGGTGTGTTTTGATGAAATCAAACCATGATTTGGAGAATAGCTTTGGAGAATAAATTCTGTAAAGAATAGATTTGTAAAAAAGTGATTCTGAGAAGTAAGAGTGTTTGGATAGTTGTTATCAAAATACTTTTTATATATACAAATTACTAAAAAAAACATAAGTTAATATGATAATTATATAAAAGATAAATTTTATGATATATTTTAATTTGAAAGAATAAAATTGTTAATAATATATTTTTTACCAACATAATTAATAATACATAAGATAATGTAATTAATAAATAATTAATATGTGTATATATGTTTATAAGATATAAGGTTAAATATGTTTATAAAAAAATAATTGAGAATTATTAAAGTCATATTATTGTTGAGATCTACTCTGACAGGCACAATCATCTCTCCAATTTGAACCAGAAGCAGAATGAATTCACTTCTTCTGAAACCATGGTTTCAGATTATTGGTCCAAAATTGATGCTGTTTAGGTGACATCTCACCAAAACCATGGTTTTGCCTCCCAAACCAAACCATCGTTTTGAGGGTCACCCAAACAGACCCTTAATTGTCATTTTCAATTCTTGCCCACTATTTATAATTATAATTTTCTTTCACGTTATTCATGAGTGATCATTGCTATATACTTTTGCTGGTTCTTATTATAAATTTCAAATAATTAATTCACAGATAACTAATAATTAATTAAAATTAGTTAAAAATAACAAATAGGTTAGAAATATATTTTTACTTCTAAACATACTGTTATAATAAATGAAAAAAATGAAAGAAAATACGTAAGAAAATATGATAAGAGAGAAATAATTAAGATAACATTGACAAAATACATTAAATGTTAAGACAAGTCCAAATTAAAACTTATAAAATAGACTATATTCTTTTTCAAATTTAAAACTTATAAATAAGAGGAAGAGAATACTAAACAAATTAATTAATTAGTTTTTACACCAAGCAAAAAGGAGGAGCATTATCCAACTATCAACAGAATACGAATGTATGTCTATTTCTCCGGCAAAATCAGCACCATCATTCAATCCAACGGCTGAAAATACCACACTTTAGAATAAAAACAATCTAATTTTTGCAAAATCACCTTGAACACTAGCCTTCACGGCCCCCCCGCCAGCCCCCGGGGGGGAGGAATTCAGTTTTTATTTGTGAGGTTTATTACTTTTTGTTGAATAGTATTAAAACATATTTATTTAAACATTACCTGCACACACCCACACCAATGTAATGTAGCTGCCTTATCTGATCTCATCCTGATATATGCTACCTCTAGTCTAAATTATAAGAACTAGTTGATTAATTTGAAGAGATTAAAAAAGTAAGCTGAGTTAGTTATTTGTCCTAAATAGGTGTTGTCTTTCTTAAAATATCTTTGCTAATCAAGTGTATTGGTTAGAACTATCATTTTTAGAAGGACTACTTTGAAAAAACAAATGTATAAATATGAGAGATAAAGTAAATTGGAGTTTTACATTTAAAACCAAAATAAAAATCAAATAAGATATTATATTAAGGAGCGGAGGCAGTGTTTCAAAGCCTAACTCAAGGGTCAAAAAACAGTGAGTTTCTCCGGGTTTTAAAATCAAGCATATACAGATACACACACACTTGTGTGTGTACGTGCACGCGCGCGTGCGTATATATAATGGTAGAGACTATGTATACTCACTACTTCTGTCGAACGACACTAGTTTGGGAATTGCACGTTCTAAAGTTTGAAGAAAAATTAACGGCTCAGGTGTCACTTTTGCCAACGGCTCAGATCCGTTTCAGTTGCTTAGGCATTTGGGTCGTCTCCGACTTCTCATTCTAATGCTTTTCACTTAACCCCCCCCCCCCTTCTTACAATAAGAAATTACATTAACACTTAAAAGCAGGAGACCTAGGTGACCATCAATCCTATACGCGCACGTAAACAATATCTGGAACATCTGATCCCAAATAAGAAATACTACCTCAACATATGATTAAAAAATTAGATAAATTAGTTAATTATAATAAATTTGATATGATACCTCTAACATATTTATATGTATGCTGTCTTTGATTTGTGACATAAGATTTAATTTGTAGTTTAGTTTAAATTATAAACCAGATTTTATATTAAAAATCGGAGACAAATGTCTTAGTTTGGGAAAAAAATATAAATGTAGAAGATAAAATGAATTTAGTTCTTATACTTGTAATTAAATCCAACCCTTTAATTAACTTCTATATTAGAGACAGAAGGGCGCATCAAATGCATTGGAGAAGAATATATTAATGATCGGGGAGTATGAAGATTCATAGGTTGTAACTTGTAATCTTTGAAAAAGTTGAAGATGAGATATGCTTTTTCTCTCTATCTCTCCACGTATAGAGAGAGAGAGAGGGAGACTCATATTTGCATAGGACTACGTGGGAAAAGCCAAAGTAGAATATGCTCCGCCCCACCGTCTGGCTTTCTTTTTTCTATCCTATATACTACTATTTGGTTTTATGCACCACGCATGAGCCTTTTGTATGTTAAAAAAGAAATTAAATCTTGAAGGTCGTTTATCCCAATTAAGATATCTTATGCCTCGGAGAAGAAATCATAGGGGAGTTCGCAGATCTTAGGTTGTAATGTTTGATACAAGAAGGATTGTTTGAGCCTTGTTGGCCTATTTGGCTGTTTTCTATTGGTAATGTAACACCGAGTTGTGGGATTTACAGCCCATATAAAGGCCAACCATCCCGACACTTGAGCGTATCCGTGCGGCCTCCTGAAACACAGAAACAAATCTGTCTTCTTTCTATGGCTTCTGCTAATTCTTCTAATCCCTTCTTCTTTGCTTTTATTTCTCTGGTTTGCTTCTTCTTATTCTTCGTTGAGAACAAACCCTATGTTTCCGCAACAACAAGGAAAGAATACAGTGAGCTTCAGCATACTCATCATCACGTTCCTCTCAGCTCTCTCTTCCCTTCTTCCTCCTGCAGCCCTCTTCCTCCAGGTTCTTTCTCCTCCATGCATCTCGATCTCACTCTGTGTTATAATATATAGAATATAGTATTCCTGCGCACGCACGATAACGCATTGAATATATATTATGTTTTGATGCGATGAATAGGTAGAAGCAGAAAGGGATCGTTAGAATTGGTACACAAGCACGGGCCATGCTCAAAACTGATGAAGCAACACACGTCCTCGTCAGTGAAAGCTCCATTAACAGTCCCACACAGTGAAATGCTGGCGCAGGACAAAGCGAGGGTGAGAGCGATCCAGTCGAAGCTGTGGGAAGGGCAGCGTGAAGCAAGAGAAGGAGATGGGAGGTCGGCGGCTGAGGCTCCGCTTCCGGCAAGGTCAGGGAATATTCTAGGGTCGGGGGACTACTTCGTGAGGTTAGGGTTGGGAACGCCGGCGAGGGAGTTGTCGCTGATATTTGACACCGGAAGTGACCTCACTTGGACTCAGTGTCTCCCATGCGATGGCTCCTGCTATACTCAGAATGATACTATCTTCGATCCTTCGCACTCATCTTCCTATTCTAACATCCCTTGCTCTTCTTCCCAATGTTCTCAGCTTTCCTCTGCTAGAGGTGTGTGTCTGTGTATCCTTATTACCTCATATAGTCCCCTCTCTCTCTCCCTCCCTCTCTCTCTCTATACGCATACACACACACACACACTCTAGTTTATAAATAATCAGATACTACAACTGCACACATATGTTGTTATTATTTCCATTGCTAAATTTACAGCCAGTTAGGGAAATTACTAGTTCTAGTTAAATGATATCCTGATTCCACCTTATTTTCTAAGTTTATAATTCTTTTTCAAATTGTTATTATTAGTTACACATATGAAGAAATTTGCAAAAAAAAAGTAGCTTTAATGCAAATAATTAAATAGAATGCTTTTCTAACTAAGGGGGTGTTTGGCAACACCGATAAGTGCTTTTAAAAACATTTTTTCGCAAAACGAGACAATCTCCTCCACATATTTACTTTGTATATTGTAAAAGTATTTTTAAAATTATAATTTGGTTTTTACCCAAGCACCCCCTAACCTTCTTAATTTTTACAAATTAATTATTTAGTTTCTATGTCTATGATTGAAAGATGTATAAATTTTTATTTTTTTGGTGAAAAATATAAGTTTTTATTTTATACATAGTAAAAGTCACATGTTTTACACTTGTACTATATATTTTCGGATATTTTGCTAATGTCATCCTAAGGTCTCCCAGCTAAAAGAAACAAGACCATATCTCAGATAATTTAGAACTCATTAACACCATCACATACATGATGTTAAACGTAAATTCAACATCCATGTCCTTGACTTCTCACTGTTTTTCTCATTTCTTTGATAACTGTTAATAATATATAATGTAGGAATTGAGCAGAAATGTTCAGCAGACGGTTGCCTTTACCATACTAAATACGCTGACGGGTCCTCCTCCACCGGAAACTTGGCTAACGAAACACTAACAATTACTCAGACCCACGTCGTAGACAACTTCCTCTTCGGCTGCGGCCATGACAACGGGGGTCTCTTCAACGGCACCGCCGGCCTCCTCGGCCTCGGCCGCAACGCCATCTCCTTTGTCCAACAAACTTCGGACATGTTCCACAGAATCTTCTCCTACTGCATCCCTTCCACAGCCAGCGAAGTTGGCTACCTCACCTTCGGCGGCGTACCCGCCTCCGACGACATCATTTACACGCCGTTTTCTTCCATCCCGCAGAGCTCCTCCTTCTACGCACTCGACCTCACCGGGATCTCCCTCGCCGGCGCCAGTCTATCGATCCCCTCCTCCGTGTTCTCCTCTGTCCGCGTGTTAATCGACTCCGGTACCGTCCTCACGTGGCTACCTCAGGCGGCGTACGGCCCCCTGAGAGACGCGTTCCGGAACGCGATGTCGAAGTACCCGATGGCAGGTTCGTTTGCAGAGTTGGACACGTGTTACGATTTGAGCGGGTACGAAACTGTTGTCATTCCGAAGGTGACATTGTCGTTTGGAGGGGGAGTGAATGTGAATCTGGACGCCAGTGGGGTTGTGTATGTGGTGAGTGAAACGCAGGTGTGTTTGGCGTTTGCTACGAATAAACGCTTGGTGGATATTGCTATTCTTGGAAATGTTCAACAGAAAACAATCGAGGTTGTGTACGATGTTGGTGGTGGTAGGATTGGGTTCAGATCTGCTAGTTGCGGTGGAAATAGCAGGTTCTCTACCGGTTCTGCAAATCTCAACCACTCTACCGGTTCTGCAAATCTCAACCATCCAAATTTAATTTGGATGGTACAGATTTACTTTATATATTTTTTATCTTACTTTTTCTTTAAATTTTAGAATATACAAGATAAAGGGGGGGAAAAAAAGTAATGTCAACTTTTTAAAAAATAAAGAAAATATGGAAACAGCCGAATCGTGTTCTTTTGGCTGTAAGATCAGAACCCATGTCCCGGTGTAACTAGTTAATAATTGCTTGCTAGAGGCAAAAGTTTAAGATTTGATCAATAAATAAAAATGAATAGATCAATCTGAATTGTGAATAAGGATGTAAGCATTATCAAAGGTTTTATCCATTGGTGTCTGCTTAAATGTCATTTATTTATATTCCATTGTTGGTCTTTTTTTTTTCTCCCCACAGATAATTCTTCTCAAACTTGGTATCTATTTAAAGTCTGGTTTGGGCGTGTGTCTTAAATTTAATTATCATTTTCAATTCTTGCCCACATTTATAATTATAACCTTCTTTCACATTATTCATGAGTGATCATTGCTATATACTCCTTTTGGTTGTTATTATAAACTTCAAATAACTAATTCAAGTATAATGAATAATTAATTAAAATTAGTTAAAAATAATAAATATATTTAAAATATATTTTTATTTTCAGATATGCCCTTATAATAAATAAGAAAAAAGACAAAAAAATGTGTGAGAAAATATGATGAGAGAGAAATAATTAAAAGTAACATTGAAAAAAATATATCAAATATTAAGATAAACCTAAATTGAAGCTTATAAAATGAACCATATCCCTTCTCAAATTCAAAACTTATAAATAGGATCGGAGAAAGTACTTACAAATTAGTTAATTGAGTCTTACGGTCTTACGTTAAATACTGAGGAGTATTATCCAACCATTAAAAGAATACGAATGTATGTCTATATATTTCTCCGGCAAAATCAGCACCATCATTCAATCCAACGGCTGAAAATACCACACTTTATAAACATATTTGAGGAAAAAATGTACTTAAGCTGATCCATTTCCGTTGGATAAATTGTAATTAAATTTAAGATTGCCAAGAAATTAGAAAAGAACGAAATAGTTTTAGCAAAATCATCTTGAACTCTGGCCTTTATTTTTTCCCCAAAGGAATTCTCAGTTTTTGAAATTGTTATTCATCAATGTAGTCTTACTTAGACATGGTATATATGTCAAACACACACAAATTAAAATTATATATCCTCAGGCATAAACATAACTTATAATTACTTATCACTCACATATCAAAAAAGTTAATTAGTTAAAGCTAGTTTTCGTTACGAATTAAATTTTTTTTAATAAATTTAACCTTGATAATTAAATTCTTTCTATTTGTTGATTTCTAAAACAAGCATTTAATAATGGGTAAGAATATTTGTAAATTATAAGAGTTTCATGATATATATTAGGAGTGTGCAAAAACCCGGTAGTCCGGTCCAGTCCAGTCCAACCCGAAAGTGGTCTTGTCCGGTCCAGTCCAGTCCAAATTAACTATATAATGAAATTAGACTAAATTGGACTAGACTAGTTAGTCGGGTTGGACTGGGTTTCGGACCAAGTGATCATATCACCTAGACTGGTCCAGTCCAGTCTAGGTGAATTTTTTATTTTTCAACAATTTGTAATTTAGATGGTGCCTTTAATTGTTTTTAATGTTTTTAGATATTTTTATGTATTTATGATGAAGTCTTAATATTTTAGGACGAGTTTCATATGATTATAAGTATTTTTTATTGTCTTAATTGTACTTATCATGTTGAAATCTTATTTCTCATAAAGAAAAAAACTTAAAAAAGAAAAAGAAAATTGGACAACTAGACTGCCTGAACCAGTCCACCAGTCTAGTAGACCAAGTCCAGTCCAACCCGACCTCGGGTCATCACTGGACCAGACCAGACCACAGACTATCAAACCCAGTCCAACCAAAAAATCAGACTAGACTTCGGGTTGGGCTCTGGTCCGGTCCAGTCCGTCCATTGTGCAGCCTTAATATATATATATATATAGTAATTAATGCTTGCTTATCTTGGACCCTAGATTTTTTTTTTTTAACTAAAACGAAGATAGGAGGAGAGTAGGTTCGTGTCAAGATCAATCAAACTTCATTAGCAGCTTATAAAATCTTACGCAAGTTTTAATGTTAAATTTAAGATAGTTGCCATTCTGTCCCTTAACTCACAAATCACAACCTTGCGTTTGAGCACTTCTCAATCGCTACATATTAATTACAATGATTACGACTAATAGGCCAAAAGATGTAAATCTCACAACGAGGTTCAGCCACCTCGGAGCCCTTGGTTTTTTTATTGTGGATGAACCAAAAAAATTATAAAAATATTAATATTAATATAATGAACATGTAATAGTATAGGAAATCATGGACAGAGAATCCACGTTACCAACTTGAAAGAAAAGGAAAGAATTAAAATAACAAGTAAAGAGAAATAACCTGCCATGTGGCTTTCTGAGAGTCTGAGTGTTGGCTTGATTTTTTTTTTTTTTAAATTTTAGTGTGTATTTTAAAATTATTTAAATTTTGTTTAAATACTTCATGTTTAGTTACCAGAATATTTAAGCAAAAATTATTTTATTTATTTTATTTCCATTATTATTTTGAAACTTCACGATTCTTCAAAGTAATTCAGAGCGCACGATGTATTCACTAATTTGGAACTCATACAAAGGAGCTATATATATTTAGCTCTTCTTTGTAAGATGGCCAATTCTTTTGGCAGAAAAGTATAAATTAATTTTCCAATATACTGCATTTTATCACGACGTTGATTCTCTTTAATACAAAATAGATGCATTCTTTAATTCTCGATGATTACTTACGTAACATGCAAATGCAACAATCGCAATTCATTTTAAATTCGAATTTTAAAGACTAAAGACTGAATACTTAAGAATCGTGTTTTTATATCTTGAATGTATAATTTATGGAATATATTAGATATTTTGTTTAAAAATTTTCTTACATTATTGTGTTGTAGATACTAAAACTACTTTATCCTTCAAAATTAATGTATTTATTCTCTTAATTTATATTTTGTATGCTTAAAAAAGAGGAATATTATGTAATTATCATTAATAAGGACTTTCACTAAAACTTTGACAAGACATATTAGTATTTTATATTTTGTATGGTGTTTACTTGTTGAGGAGCGGCGCTCCTTAATGAATAAACTATGAAATGAACATTACCACAAAAAGATACGTGTGAGGTCTGAGATGTTGACAAAATGAACCAGCATTCTCTTTAAAATTTAATGTGCAATATTATTTATATATTTACATTAGTATCATATTTTTAGAATTCATGTACCCCCAAATAAAAAATTATTATTAGATCACGTAATATTTTATCACCTGATAATACTGTATTAATTAACAAATTATGAAGTTGGCCAAAAAAAGTTTACAAATTATAAAATTGCATTGGTAATAAGATCAATTTATCACCAATAAAAGGTGTATATTATATTAAAATCCTATAACCGATTTTGAGAATCTTATTAGTGGTAATATATAAATATTTTCATAAGCACCTTGAATTTATACTTTAAACACTGACTTTGATAAGTTCATGGGTCTAACTCACTTCCATTTTATTTTATTTTACTAAAAAGATAAAATAGATATCAACTAATCTACTTATTAGAGATTTATTTTTCTTTTTACACAATTATCTAAACAATCTACTATATCAAGTCAAGTTTGAGTATTAATACCTAATTAGAATAAGTCTCACAACATAATTTTTTAACCCACAATATTTTAACCCTTGGTTTTTTTAAAGAAAATAGAATAATTTCCCCTCAATGTAATTACCCATTAATTATAGTTTTAAAGATGGAAATGGTTTATTTAGATGGTTTATTTTATACTTGACAGAGAACAAGAAAACAACAGCTAACATGTGACCCTACCAAGTTTTTTCCTTTTCTCACATCCAAAACCAATCAAAACACGCCACTCCATTCCTTCCTATCTGGCCAAAACGGTTCCAGAAAAATACCATCACACATCAATTGAAAAAAACCGCATAAAATAGCTTCAAATCTTCGATCCCTTGTCTACTTTTATTTCCATTTCCCCTGTTTATTCGCATTCATTTGATTCCATTCCAAAGCTCAGCTCTCGATTCTCCGATCGGCTCCACCGTCAAACCGTCCATCGCCATGGCTATGGACGACAATGGCGAGCCTCTGCTCAGCTCTCGAGCCATCACTTCCAAGTACAATCGCAGCGTCTCCCACGCCTACGACGAGCTTCACAGCTTCCGAACCTACCTCCGGTGGATGTGCGTCGACCAATCGAACGTCTGGACGGCGTTGGTGTCGTGGTCGATGTTCCTCCTATTCGCCGTTATCGTCCCCGCCACCTCTCACTTCCTCCTCGCCTGCCCTGGCTGCGATGCCAAGCACTCCAGGCCGTACGACTCCATTGTGCAATTATCGCTCAGTAGCGTCGCCTCTCTGTCTTTCATCTGCTTGTCGAGGTTCGTGAAGAAGTTTGGCCTTCGGAGATTCTTGTTCTTTGATCGGCTCTGTGATGAGAGCGAGACCGTGAGGACCAGTTACACCGGGCAGCTCAATGTGAGTTTCTCATCCATGCCTTTCTTTCTCGTTTGTTCTACAAGTTTCTGATCTTCTAATGACTTTTTGGTTCATCGATCTTTGAATGACTTGCTAATATGATACAATTGAGATTTAGAAGCATCTCGAGAATTCCTTTTTCATTCTGTTACGCTACTTCCTTCTTTTCCCCCTTTTCAGTTTTAAATACGAAAATGAACACTTCTTCCTGTTCTACGTGTTTTGACCTTGTGATAGCTAAGGAAACAGAGGAAGAGTAACCTCTGGATCATGTTCGGCGCATCTTATAATGATGAATTTGGCGGATAGAAATAGAAATTTGAATTGTCCACGAAATATATTAATAGAGATCCAGATTATGGAGCCAACCTATGGAAAATCACTTTCAAAGCTGTATTTTACCCTGCCAAGCTAGGGTTGGTGAACCGCTTCCAGTTCCATTGACTATAGTACAATATAATATGTGGTTATGAACAGGCAGAAAGAATAAATTCAGGGGAGGTTTTTCTTAGTGGACATGAACAATATAAAACAGAGCCTGCTCGTTTGGTCGAAATTCACAAGGCAATTTTGGATAATTGATAGTTATAAGTTCCCCCTTCCATTATCTGCTGTTGAATAAATGCTATGTTCCGGCCAAAAAAAATAATTATTGTTGCCTTTTTCTTTTTTTCTTTTTTCCCCGATCTTCTGTAGATGAATAATAGACCCAACTTGCGGGAAATACTATGATTTGGGAAACATCCACTGGTACTTGAATTGATTGCATTCATCATGATTCACAGAGAACGAACAAAATAAATGCACTTGATTTTGACATGCTCAGTTAATTGTGTCATTTTCATTCCTATTAGCGATGTCTGTAGTCTTTTTTGAGTATAATTATATATACTTGTATTGAAAAATATAGAATAAATCAAAAGAAAACTTGTCTTCATTGAGTTGGTCATAAAAAAGTTCATCAACTCCATCTAATAATCGAATAATCGTGATCATGTGCTTGTTCTTGGGACAAATTGTGGTGGTGGCCCCACTTAAATAGGGGAGAGCTAGGAGATGTGTGCGTCAATTGATCATTCAGTGGATTGGAACTGGTTCTGTGAGAATTCAAGTGTTATTAAATTCATTGGATGTGATTGTTATTCCGTTCCTTTGGTCTTAATTAATTCTTATGTGTATTCAAGCATTGTCCATTTAAGTATAAGTACTACTTTTTTCAGTACTATTATTGTTTACTAAATCAATTAGTAGTCTATATAGTATAGGAGGACAAAAATCTCATAGCTGGACCGTTCATTTTGCTTGGTTTCCTTAGATTGTGTGTATATTACTAATTTTAAATATCCCTTAAATCTTCTTCCAGTCAATTTCAATAAATAAAACAACAATCCGTTCTCCTGTTTATTCCATTATAGTTATGTTTTCGAACGAGTAATTTCTATCCGAAAGTGTTAGAGATGAACAATATCAATATTTAATATTTATGTATATATAATAAAATTTATAATAAATTACATTATTCACATGTCATGAATTAAAATGTTGCATTTTTCTCGGTGTGTAATTAAACCGAGTTCTTGTGTACATCTTATTTTACAGAGATCACTGAAGATTCTCTCAGTATTTGTGATCCCGTGCCTCATAGCTGAGAGCGCATACAAGATATGGTGGTATGCGTCAGGAGCGTCGCAAATCCCATTCCTAGGAAACGTCTACTTGAGTGACGCAGTAGCATGCGTGATGGAGCTGCTCTCGTGGCTGTACCGCACCACGGTGATCTTCCTGGTGTGCGTCCTTTTCCGTCTGATCTGTCACCTCCAAATCCTACGGCTAAAGGACTTCGCTTCTGTGTTCCACATGGACTCCGACGTGGAGTCAGTGCTGTCGGAACACCTCCGAATCCGGAGGCATCTCCGTATAATCAGCCACCGATTTAGGGCGTTCATATTGTGGTCCCTCATCCTCGTCACCGGTAGCCAGTTTGCTAGCCTCCTCCTCACCACCAGATCTTCTAGGGACCTTAACATTTACAAAACTGGTGAACTTGCGGTACGTACGCCCCTTCTCTTTTTAACTAGATTTTCGTGCCTCAATATGTTTTTATACTAATAATAATAATAAAATATTTAGATGAAATTCCTTATATTTATTATGTTAACTTATTTAGTTACATATGTTTCATATTTTAAAATATTATTATTACACTATAAATTTATATTAAAAAAATAAAACACATCATTATTTGTGATTATGCAGCTTGATATAATAAATTTAAGTGACTAAAAGTATTTTAAGAAGTTGTTATTTATTACCTTAAACTTATCATTGTAGGTTGTCATGTTGTCACCTGGATCTTTTAGCAATGTGTTTTTTTATTTATTTATAATTTCATAGCAATTCTTCCGACTATAATTGTTGCAAAAGAAATAATGAATAATTTTATGTATAATTACAAAAGGCAAATTCTGGACCCAAAAAAATTACAAAAGGCAAATAAAGGCATTTATTTAAATTTAGTTAGAAATTGCGTGAAAGTAAACACACAACTGTCATTACTCATGATCAACAAGTTATCCTTCTGTGCTGTACGAAGTTGTAAAATATAAGTTGTTTTTCCTCAATTATTTAACATGTTTGGGTTATGATTTGGTGCAGCTGTGCTCCGTGACACTACTTTCTGCGCTGTTAATCTTGCTGCGGAGTGCGACAAAGATCACACACAAAGCACAAGCGATCACAGGGCTTGCTGCCAAGTGGCACGCGTGTGCCACGTTAGATGCGTTTGATGGGGTGGGGGTAGATGGGGAGACACCGACGGCTCAGATTGCATGCGAAAGAGTCTATCCGGCGGTGGGGACTGATGGAGAATCGGAAGCTGATGATGATCCAGGAGACGAAGAATGTGAGATTAATACTACCAGATTAATCCCAACATATGCCCGCAGCACGATCTCATTCCAAAAGAGACAAGCTTTAGGTATGCCTGTCAGACCAAATTATTCCTCTCTCCTATTTCCTTTTACGTAATTAAACCCTTTCGCTTTGTTGTTGTCGCGGGGCAAACCTGTCATTTTGTTAACTTTGAGGACAGCTCAGCTGATGTTTTCGGTGGAAATACTTAATTATGACTAAATTAATCCTAAGTCTCATTCTTAATAATATTCCTCCGGTCATTAATTTAAAACTTATTTAACTAATTTAATTAGATTAATAAAATTAGATTGATTAGTTAATTATAAAAAATGACATGTTTTTCATAAAACACTATAATCATCTTTCTTAATATTCTCTCATCCTCTCTTACTTGATTATGATTAATGGAACATTAATAGGGATAATTTAAAAAAATTTGATAAATATGAGAACTGAATCTTACATTTAGGACTAAAATTAACTTAATAATTAGATCATACATTAAAGATTGGATGAGTATAAAATTTACTTCAGTTAAATAAAATAATTAAATTAATTATTTGTAAAAAAAATATGTGCTAATCTTCCTAAAACACCCCATTTAATAATTTGCATAAAAGCTGTTCTTAATGCCAATTCATTTAACATTAATGTGCAATCAATACAAATAGTTTGAAAAATAATTATAAGAAACAAAATAAATTGAGATCTTATATTTAGAATTAAACTTAACTTCAGCTAGCTCCTATGTTATGGACTGAATATAATATTAATTTAATTTCCTTAACTATTTAGTTACAATTTTCAAAAACAAAGAAATGGACATTTGCTAGTATCCCCCCCCCCTAAATGTACAGTTTCATTTGAAAATATCAAACTGATTCTTTCATCAAGGGGAAAGAAATCATCAAGTCACACATTACATGATCATAAGAATCATTGTTCTTATTGCCGTTTTGAAACTGTTTGTGTTTGAACATAAAAGTGACGTAATAATTTGCTTTTATTCATGGCTGCAGTGAATTACTTCGAGAATAACAGAGCAGGGATAACGATGTTTGGATTCATGTTGGATAGGAGCACACTTCACACCATTTTCGGAATTCAGCTGTCTCTTGTTCTATGGCTACTCGGCAAAACCATTGGTTCCTTTTCTTGATCGCGCCCATTTTCCACGTTTACTTCTTTCCCATGTTTTGCCCCTTCTCTTTAATGTCCTTTTGAAGGTTTTGAAAAAAAAAAAAAAACAGAGAGAGATCGTTGAGTTGGAATTATAAATTATCAGGGCTTGCCTGGCTATCCGATCATGTACAAATGTCCTCTTCTTGTTAGACTTCTATGTCATCAAATATTATCTCCACATATTGATTCACAAGGGCCCCTTTCCCACCCCAACCCCCCCCCCCCCCAAAAAAATAGAAATAAAAAAAAAAAAGAGATGCCTTCCCTTTTCTGATACACATGAATATGTGGCTAATGTATATGCAAATCTGTTAGCTTTCTTATGCAAGAAGTTAACGGTGACATCCAAACCTCTGTTCATATGCAGAGGGTATATCTTTGAATTCACTGGCAGAAACAATTAAATCCTCATAATCTCAGTAGAACTTTTAGCCACGGTATATACCTCTCAGAGGAAATAATCTCTACTTGTCAATCTTAGCCATCTTAATCAGTCTTGGGCTTGTAGCTTATCATCATCATGCAATAAAATTGCAAATAACATGTTGAAATAAAGGCTTTTATTTCCTTCTTTTTCTGCTGTCAAATAATTTCGCACCATAAGGAGAAACTGCTATCACACACCACACCACAGGAAACAACTGTTCATTTTTATGGAACACAATAAAACAAACGATCCGTTAGAATTAAAACATAATGGAAAGTCACCCTTGAGGTCCTTGCGGTGTAGAGAACTTATTCTTCATTCTATGTCTCATATTCCAAAACTTGGCATACAGCAATGAAATTAGCTTCATGCACATTTAAAAAACTCCAACAATCATGAGACTTCCAGTCGAAGAATCACATGCAGAAATCATAAGCTGAATTTCATTATAATTAAGGAAACCATTCGCCAACTTCTTTTGAACTCAGTCCAACATGCAGAGAAAGTTGAGACGGCAAAATTGCAGGCAAGTGCCGTTTTTTCTTTGGAAAAAAAAAAAATTTTTAAGCTCCTGAATCCAGATACGTATTAGTAATTGTGATCGAGTTTCACAGCCACATTTTATGCAACTTGCGTGAAAAGAAGAAATGTCATATTGTATCACTGAATGTAAATGTTCTAACTGATAAAAGAAAACAACTCAAACTATAGAACTTCATTCTTTCAAGCACAGAATGTTCAAAGGATCACAGAGTCGAAGGAACCAAGGATCATGAAGCACAATTACTCAACTGTATATGTAACTTAGACTTTAAAAGAGAAAATTCTAACCATTATCCCAAATCAACAAGACTTCAAAATTATGATTCTACGGCTCCACTGTCGTCACCTGTTGCCACTCCCCGTCTACTGCTTCCTTCCATAATGTCACATTATTGTTCCCATCGGCCACAGCCAATATATTTCCAGTCAATGACCATGATACCCTCCAAACTGGGGTCTTGAAATCATATAAAACCTTGCCTTCCCACTGATCTCCCTCCCTCGCCACTGTCCATATAATGACTTTACCATCTTGAGATGCACTAGCAATTGTAGATTTAGGAAGCCCCAAATTTGGTGCCCAAGCAACATCTCGAACCCAATCTGTATGCATCTGAAGAGCAGGAAAGCAGTCCATCTTCCAAACGCCATTGTAGAGTTTCCATACCTTTACAGTATTATCACAGCCACCAGAGCATAGCTTCTGTACAGGGTCAAGCAAGCCAGTGCCAACAATAGCACCAGGTGCTGTTGAGGGGGCCCATGAAACAGATGTAACGCCAACAGGATGAGCTTGATCAATTCTTGAAGTGTCCCAGCCACCATCTGCTCTTGCAGTGAAAACAGAGATGTTACCATCAGATGAACCACAAGCCAAGCAAAGACCTAACTCATGAGGCGCCCAAGAAACTGAATTAACTGATGACTTGTGGTCATCAAACACATGAGCTTGAGTCCATTCATTTGGATTGCCCTCCTTCCATATAATGACACGACCATCATAAGAACACGAAGCAAGAAGAGACCCAAATTTAGGGTGAGCCCATACTACCTGCCATACAGGCCCTTGATGTCCAGTCAGGGTTGCTAGATGTTGAGAGGCTGTGTTGCTCACCCCAATTATCTTAATGGTGTGGTCAGATGAGGCTGTAGCCAGCCGTTTACCATAGTAATCCATTGCCACATCATGAACCGTGTCTTGATGGCCAGTTTCAACCTTCTGAGAAGGCATATTTCTGTTAACATGCATATAGGGACAGTTAGTCACACAAATATCCCATAAAAGAAAACAGGAAAAACGATCCTTCTGCCAATTGTTACACCCAATTTCAAGAAACTTGTCATAAAACAATACAATAAATAATCAAATAAACAATAGCAAGGTTGAAGTCATTGATCCATTGACACAAGATTCGATCCAATCTAGATAGTAAAGGCAGATCGCTGTCCCAAGTATAGAAGTACAGTGCAACTGAAGAAAAAAAAGTCTTAACATAAAGTAGATTTCACCAGTGCAAGCGCAACTACTCAAGCTTCAATTAACAACTCACATACGATTATAATGTTAGAACTAACATGAAATCAAACTATAATACCCATAATACAGGCTCATGTTAAAAAATAAACCCTGGTCCAACCTAGGAGGGACAAAAACAAACCCAGAGTTTAAAACCGAGAAGAATACCCTGGGCCCATGAGAAAAGAATTGAGTAAAACTGGACCATTTCTACATTGTATTCAACGATTATGACATGAAAAATATTTTTCCGACCATCAGTGCTTAATTACCACCTCGTATAAAATAAAAATTTCAACAATCCACAGAAAAAAAGAGAAAAAATTCCCAGGAGAAGCAAAGCCAAGAGCAGCACATGCGTGGAAAACCCTTCAATAGAAGTTGAATCGGAAGAAATGAGGAGAAAAGGTAGAAAGAATCAGAATTTTTAGATTGATGAAAGGGAAGATTGTAAAAGCTGCGAAGAAGCAGGAAGTGGTGACGAAATCTGAAGATCTAATTTGAAAATATCAAAAGATCAAGTAGGGCTGCACGAGAAAATCGAAAGAGGTGTAGTGAGAGGATAAAAGAACAAACCTGTACAGTAAAAGAGAGCCGGCGGTAACGCGAACTGATCGGAGCGGCCCTGGACGGTGTCAGGTACAGTTGCGGATGAGTCAAAACTCGAGACGCAGAGGATGACAGCAAGAAGCACAGATCTATGCTCTGCGATTTGAACGATGGGCAGGATTAACAGGCAAGGGTAGGCCTGCGCAGAGGAAAAATCTCTATCGAAACGACTGGTCGTTTCAGTTTCTTAGTGTTATCGGTTATTTTTTTATTCGATGATTTAGCCCAATTAACTGAAGCCCAAAAATATTTTTTTCCCACCTGAAGCCCAAAAATATTTTTTTCCCACCTGAAGCCCAAACCACACTAATCTTAGAGGGCATTTTTAATTACTTACACACATTAAGAAATTCACTTAAAATTAGTAAATCTAATTAATTTTTTAATTATTTGAATAAAATATCTCCACTTAATTAATCACACTAAGTGCTCTCCAGTATGGAAAATAACGAATGATAAATAAATCTGGGGAAATTTTTTTTTTCCCACCTGAAGCCCAAACCACACTAATCTTATAGGGCATTTTTAATTACTTACACACATTAAGAAATTCGCTTAAAATTAGTAAATCTAATTAATTTTTTAATTATTTGAATAAAATCTCTCCACTTAATTAATCACACTAAGTGCTCTCCAGTATGGAAAATAACGAATGATAAATAAATCTGGGGAAAAAAAATTAATGCCACAGTATTTGCAAAGGGCTCTAAAATAGCACCATGGACTTTTAAAAATAACCTCTAACAAAGACCAAAGGAAATATATATATACTCCTTCAGTTTTAAATATAAGACTTCTTTTATAGTGTAATTTACATTATAAAAATGGTTAAAAGGGATCTTATATTTAGAACAGAAAGAGTATATATTAGGCTATTATTTGCCAATATTATACACACAACATATACATTTACATATCCATAAACACGCACACTATGCATGATATATAATTACAATTTCAATATCTGAAATTTAAAATTTAATAGAACCCCCTGTAAAACTTTATAAAGTTAAAGCTTTCTTAATATAAGACATCAAATTCTAAGACCAAATGAAGAGGTGGGAAAAAAGTGGGTTTGTTGGGGGAATCCGCTAATGGGGTTATAACTTATATTAAAAACTAATCTTCCTATAAGAGATCAAAGTTATATATGTGTGTGTATGTATGTATATATATATATATATATATCTTAACAAACAAATAAAAAATAGGAAAAATCTCAAAAAAAGACCACCAAAATTGAAAAATTGTACACAAAGATCCGCTTACAAAAATTATTGTCAAAACTCATACTAATGTTCTAACAGATCCCTATTTATAATTTTTCTATTCTGGCATTCTTTTTTGCAATTTTTCCTAAAAAATAGGCATATACAAAAGAAAATTTTATTGAACATGAATAAATAAAATGATTACAAAAAAAGACCTGTCAATCATAGCCATATTCGGTCAATTTAAACGAAGCCCAGATGAATTAAAGAAATGATCGATCCAAAACATCTAGATCATGCCAATGATGAACAAAGCCAAAGAAAAACACTAAAAATACGGATATCTTGTCCCCTTCCGAGTGGATCCAAATAATGTCATGCGAACTTGGGGCGCCAGAAAAACGAAATTCTAAAACCTAATTTTCTCCAGTGCCCAGATCATCACTTGGAATTTATTTTCAAATAGATTTCGTACCACAACTTTTCTTTATTTATTTCTCTCTTTCTTGTATCATTACTTTGTTTGTTTTTCCCTTTTGCCTGAAACACATATAGTGGTTGAATAACTAAACATTTGGAAAACTTTGTATAAGAAATGCATCCCAAGTCAGCATGTGCGCCAACTAAAATTAGGTCTTGCGCCAAATGATCTCAAGGGCCAAATTTCCATATCTGCTTCGTCTTTTTTGAGAGCATAATTTATTTTGTAACACATAAGATCCTAAGATCTTCCCAATTTCCATATTTGTGTAATCTCAGACTTAGTTCCTTTCCATTGTGCTTCCAATGCAAAATCTGAACAGCTCATATTACTGATCTTAATCAGAAAATCCTTCAAGCTTTTTTTGGGCATCCAGTATCTTAGATCTACTTCAGTTTAACTTGAAAGATTAATGGCAGGACTAAACTAATTCAGATTAAGGCAGGTAAGGCTCCAAGAGCAACAGATCTCTACCACCAATTATTTAAGGGAAAATTACACTCATGTCCCATAGAAAATAATTAATTTAAAAAAAGTCTTTGGAAATCCCGAAATGATTCTGAAGTCTCCAGGGACCTGTGTGTAATTAATTGTAATTGTGAAATTACTTATTTACCCTATTAATTTTATTGCAGCAATTCATTTACAATCTCAACAGTGGTTGTTGACAACCCGAGAAAAGGTGGTTGACAGTCTCGGCAGTGCTCCTGACAACTCATTCTGTGGGATGCCAGGGGCATTGTTGAGGTTGTTAACCACCTCTTCTCGGGTTGTCAACAGTCACTATTGAGGTTGTAAATGAATTACATTGGGTTCAAATTAATAGAGGTAAATAAGTAATTTCACAATTACAATTAATTACACACAGGTTTCTGGGGATTTAGGAATCATTTCGGGATTTCTAGGGACTTTTTTGAAATTAATTGTCTTCTGTGAGACCTGAGTATAATTTTCTCATGATTTAATAATGCTGCATTATCAAAGTTTGAACTCGATTAAATTGGTACAACCCTTATTTTACAATGATTTAGATACAAAGTGGTCTCTCCACTAACTGGGAGGAAGCCACATCTGCATAATCTCCAACTTGTCTTCCACAAAATCATGCAATTTTAGATTTTAATTTCAATTCAAACTCATATACAATGTATCTATATTTTATGCGGCAATTCAGGAGTTATTTGGAAGTGTCATCCGGTAAAATTCAAGTAACTGAAATTGTAATAAAATATTAAAAAAATAAATTTGAAAGAAGCTAAAGTATTTATTTGGCTCTTCAACTTTATGCAAAGTTTTAGTTTGATCCCTTAACTTTAAAAAGTATATTTTTAGTCTTTTAACTCTAAAATTACTAGTTTTAAATGATGATTTTTATAATAATCATTGTTATTTTGAAAATTAAACTTAATACAGTAGCATTTAGTAATATTTTATCAATATTTAAAAACTCAATATCATTATTTTTTATTAACAGTTTTAGAATTAAAAAACTAAAAATTTACTTTTTAAAATTAAAAGACTAAAATAAAATATTATATAAAATTAAAAAACTAAAAATATAGTTTAAGCTTGACATAAAATCTCTGAAGAGTCAAAGCAATTAATGCGCATCCATGTTCGGATTAACGAGTTGCCACGCCATCTGCACATAGCGAGTCAGACTCAAATAAGCAATCTCCTCTTCCTCTTTTGGCGGATTCTGGTGAAAAAGCGTGAAACTTCACATCAACACAGGAAAATCCATTATCCAATACTGCTCTCTGTAGCCTCGCCTCAATAGGAAAGGCTCGTTCTTTTTGTTGCCCATCCGCCTCAAGGTTCCAATACGACACCGTCAGTGGATTCTTCATCGCCCCAGGGCCCAGGTTCTGTTGTAGTTCTCTATTCCTTCCCCGAAATAAGCGAATCAATCAATCAATCATTAATTAACATCAATGTGTGTATCAACTTTTTGAACAAGCGTAGAATGACGAGTTAATATTTTTATGCTTGCTATTATAAAAAACTATTTTTATACTTGCGTTGAGGTATAGATCGCTGCTGAGTTATTCATATCAAATCATACAAGTGCAATTGTGCCATCCACTTACTTGCCTTGAGAAATCTAAATATTATGATGTGATAAAATGAATATAGGCTGTTAGATGTAGTTCAAAAATTACGTGAAGAGCTTTTAGTATCATGATTTACAAGTTTCAGCGCATCACGCTAGTTTCTATACTATTCCTCTTTCGTATTAGTATCGAGGGAAGGTCCCGAATTTGAGATCTTGGCCAATCAGCAGGACCCTGAGAATGGAGATCGATACGTTGCCCATTAGTTCAGTCTCTAAAGAACACCAGAAGATCTATCAAGAGTGGTTCAATCATGCTGATTCGGGTACGATTGTTTTTCCCTTCGGATTTCGCTCTTGGTGCTTCTTGGGTTGTAACTGTGTGTACGTTTATACCATTTTGCGATTGCTGATTTCGCTTTCCCCTTGGAATTCTCAGATGGTGATGGCCGACTTACAGGGAGTGATGCCATTACATTTTTCTCCATGTCGAATTTGTCTCGCCAAGATCTTAAGCAGGTGCAGCACCGTAAATTTTTCTTCCCATGGTTATTTTGGATGGTTTGTTTATTGGATTTTATGTCTTTGCAAATAATATATGCAAGTGCATGAGCCTTGGTTTTTGAATATCCCCCTTGAAGTTTCGTTGAGTGTCTTCTATATAGTATTTGTGTGCATGATTACTTTCTTCGGTTGAGTAGTTTAAACCATATTTGCATTCGGTAAGGAACGGAATTTAGCGAAGCAAATAGGAACTGTGAAAGGGGACACAGATTGAGGAATGCGATCAATTTCTAAATGCTTGATACGAGAATATAAATGAGAGGACGTAACGCGAAAAAATAGCGTGGACGTACAATATTAGGAGATTTAGCATAAATGTTTGAATTTCACAGGCTAGCCTCTACTTCTTCCCCAGTACTTATTTTTACCTTTCTTTCGTGTTAACTGAATTTACTAAACTATTTCTTTGCTGCTCTCCTTATTTAAAATAAGGTTTGGGCTATTTCAGATTCAAAGCGACAAGGATTTCTTGGTTTTAAAGAATTTATCACTGCTATGCAGGTATATATTGTTCTGTTTTCTTTTAGTTTACTGCTGTGACATTTCTTGAACCTTACCCATTTTTATTGTAGCTAATTTCCTTGGTACAATCTGGCCGCCCAATTTCACATGATTTATCAACTAGTGATGGTGAGTTTTGTGCGTTTTACTCTGTAATCTGTAATCTTGGTTGATTTTCTCTGCCATTGCGTATTAGTTATGTATTTTGCTGTGTTCATTTTTTATGTAAATGCCCATTTATCTTATAAAGTTACCTAACGGAAGCCTAACTTCTATTTCAGTGGATTTGGAAAATCTTAAACCTCCCGAAATGGAGGGTTTGGATGTATTACTGGCAGTAAGTATCTCCCCTTCTGAATATATTATTCCTTTTATGTCCTTTTTGCGGAAGCGCTTACCTTGTATCTGTTTATCCAGAAAAAAAAGCATAAACATAAAGAGCATGATTTGAATGGTAATACATCTCTCGTTTGTTAAAATATGTGCTAATATACTGTTTCTCTGTTCATCACTTAGTTCCAAGTTCAGTAATAAGTAGTCATGCAGGTAGTACTCCACTGCAGCCATCAAGTTCAGCAAATTGGTTTTCATCAAAGTCAACAAAAAAGGTAATCATTTTCCTAATGATAGTCAGATCTTTTTTTGGGTGGGCATTATCCTTGTCTTCTGATGCTTCGTTTAGATCCAGGTTTCCAACCTTTGCCCTGCTTTGTTAATGTGTGTCGTTAAGCTCTGGTTGCATTTTATGTCATCATGATTTTGAAAGGCATATATTGGAGACATTTGAGCCTCATTACAAATATTTATCCGCTTGTTGTTATGCAATTTTTTTGTTGTATCTCTCTCTCCCCCGACCTCTGACACATTTGCTTTTTAGCAATTTACAAACTGGAATATATTATTTTCTTGGACCTTTTAGTTAACTCCTGTATGCTGTATTTGAAATTAGGTTTTTTTGGTTGCATATTTATTTCTAATACGAGCTGATACAGTACTTTTTAAGGCAGTACTTTTGGGAGTATAACCAGCCCTCTCATTCAACTTGTATGGTTTTATTTTGATATGGTATGGCAGTGGGCTCTTACAAATGTCCTCAATGGTCCTCAGATACATCTTAACGTTTTCAGCTTTCTATTCTTGTTTTTTCTTTTTGGAGCAACAAAATGTGTATTCTCTTTACTCCTGGTTTGTTTTCTGTTAATACATCAATTGTGTTAAAGATGCCGTGAAGGCCTTTCCATCGATAATTTTTGCTGGCCCTCCTAACTGTGTGTGTTGTTATTCCTTTGCTGTAATATCATTTTCTAAAAGATTGTCACATTTATCTTTATATTCTTCTCACTTTATTTTCTTGGCTTGCATTGTGGATAGGTGCCTCTTTCTGCCGTGACATCAATAACTGATGGGTTGAAGAGACTATACATTGAAAAGTTGAAGCCACTTGAAGTCACATACCGTTTTAATGATTTTGTGTCTCCATTACTGGTCAGTTGGCTATCTGTTTATTTTAGAAAATTTACTACCTACTCTCTGCATCACCTTTCTCTTTTTAATCAACTCATCAGTTTACTTTATGATGGCAATTCTATGCATTTTGCAGGGAAATAGTGATTTTGATGCCAAACCAATGGTTATGCTTTTGGGTCAGTACTCAACAGGAAAAACAACATTTATCAAACATTTGCTTAAGAGTAGTTATCCTGGCAAGTGCCCCTTGACCTTTGTATTTCTGGTATGATTATATATGTGTTGGACTGCTTATAGCTATGTTATATCCCTGATTTTTAACTCGTTTGTCTCCTCTTGTCCATAGGAGCTCATATTGGACCTGAGCCTACAACCGATAGGTTTGTGGTTGTTATGGTATGTGTGAACCCTGCTTCAATCCCCATTGACTGTTCTAACGATTTTTAAGTATGACAAATAGCTTCAAGGTTTTTGCTGTTCAAATTTAAATATCTATTTTAATTCTGCATTCTGAGACTTAGCATCTTTGATAAGGTGAGTACTGGTGGTGAAAGCAAGCGGCAGGCTTTCCCTATATTGAGTTTGGTATTTTCATAGCAATAGTGCCAAGTCTGGTATCCAGAAAAGTTGGTTCTTGATTATACTCATGCATTTATTCTCTCTTGTATTCATCCTAGCAAATCAGTTGATTCATTTGTTTTGCTGAGATTAGTTTTACATCTGTACAGGCCGGACCTGATGAGAGAAGTATTCCTGGTAATACTGTTGCTGTTCAAGCTGATATGCCCTTCAGCGGTCTCACAACTTTTGGCACAGCTTTTTTGTCAAAATTTGAGTGTTCCCAAATGCCTCATCCTGTAAGTCGTGCTAGATCCATTGAGAAAAATGAGCTACTTTTTTCCCCCGCTTATTTTAGCATCTGAAACTTGCTTACTTTCTATTGCCCCAAGTTACTGGAACACATTACATTTGTGGATACGCCTGGGGTGTTATCAGGAGAGAAGCAGCGGACACAGCGAGCATATGATTTTACTGGTGTGACCTCTTGGTTTGCTGCCAAGTGTGATTTGATACTCCTTCTTTTTGATCCTCACAAACTTGATATAAGTGATGAGTTCAGACGGGTGATATCGTCGTTGCGTGGGCATGATGACAAAATTCGAGTGGTCCTGAATAAGGCTGACCAAATTGATACTCAACAAGTATAAGACTTTATATTTAGGCACTTTTATTTTTATTGACAAAATCTGTTGAAACATTGCCAGGAAACTAACCTACCTATCCATATGTTGCAGCTGATGAGGGTTTATGGAGCACTCATGTGGTCACTCGGGAAGGTGTTGAATACTCCGGAGGTTATGCGAGTATATATTGGGTAGGGCGGTTATATTTGGGCATGTACTTCACTGTCTCCGATATGGAACTCACTTTGTCTCTTCAATTCCAGTTTAGCGACTTCTAGTTTAGTATCATGAACTGGTCTTTTGGTTGTCTCTCTTTGTATGGAAACTTTTTCTTCCCAGTGTTTTTACCTTTTACCATGTCAAATGCTTATATGTGCGTTCCCGAGCAGTTTAGATTTCTTTTCCTTCTGAAATTCAGTTTGCTTATTTTGGCAGCTCCTTCAACGACAAACCAGTAAACGATGCTGTTAGTGGTCCAATTGGCAGGGATCTCTTTGAAAAAGAACAAGAGGACCTTCTTTCGGATCTGAAAGATATACCAAAGAAAGCTTGCGATCGAAGAGTGAGTTCAATTTTTCTTTTTTCTTTTTTTTGGTTAGTACTTTATTAAATCAAAGTTTATGATGTCATGGTTTCTGTAGAAAGAATCTTCCAGGAATCGTCCGTTGAATGAAAGCTTCAAGAAGAATTATACTAACCATTCAATGATGGCTGTTGTTTTAGATGTGAATGAGATTATAATGAACAAATCCCATGTTCTGATAATTTACATAACATTTGATTCCAGATAAATGAATTTGTAAAACGAGCCCGAGCCGCCAAGATACACGCCTATATTATCAGTCATCTCAAGAAAGAGATGCCTTCTATGATAGGCAAGGCCAAAACTCAGCAAAGGCTTGTTGATAACTTGGAAGCTGAGTTTGGAAAGGTATGGCTCCATTGTTACATTCTTTTGGCTTCTCTGCCTGTCAAAAGATTCTTAGATGAACAGATCAAACCATTTGCAAGGAAACAAGTAAACATGTTTAAAACCAAAGGAAAAATGACTATGAGGTATCAAAGAACAATCACTAAAAAATCCCATGACAATTAAACAGTATGCAATGATAAGTTCCAGTATAGAAAATGACATGTCCATATTGCTCACCTCCTAGTGAGATTTTTTTGGTGATTACATTATTTTCTTGGGACCTCACAGTGATCTTCTCCAAAAGGATATTCAAGAACTTTTCTTCCTTGTCTTTGTTTGATGATGTTTTTAAACTGCGTGTATACATAATAGTGTGTTTGGAAATAATAGGTACAAAGGGAATTCCATCTGCCTCCTGGGGACTTCCCAAACGTTGAGCACTTCAAAGAGGCGTTGAGTGGATTCAACATTGACAAGTTTGAGAGATTGAAACCAAAGATGATTCAAGCAGTTGATGACATGCTTGGCTATGACATTCCAAAACTCTTGAAGACTTTCAGAAATCCCTATGACTAAGTTTGGGAGCGACTCAAACTGATTCAACAAACAAGAGATTGAACAGATTCCGACGTTGTAGGTTGTAGCATAGACACATGTAATCTAAGTATATTAAGAAATATTATTGTTCATTCTTCTCTCTCTCTCTACTTCTTACGGGACTCTTAACAAATGAGAATGTTAAAGCTAAAAAATTCATTTTGATCTTTTGTACAGTTAATAAAGTAATATTTTGTTAGGTCATCTTTTTTTAAAAAAAACATATATTTGATATTTATTCTATTTATGAATGTGATTACAATAATAAATTTAATAAATTAGTTAAACATATTGCTAACCAAGTATGGCATTCTTAAAAAGGGATTTTTAATCTCAATACAAAAATAGGTTTCATTAAATATTTGTGTACCTAAATTAGTTGACTCTCAATACAAAAAAAAGAAGTCTTAATATAAGAATTAGATAACTCCCAATTTGATCATAAATATATGATTCTAATTTATTTTATCTATCATATTTATCTATTTTTTTTGAAGTAGTCGTTATAGTAATTGTATATGTTAAAAGTTTTATCAAATGATTTTTTTAGTTAAGACACATGATTAACAAAGTATTCTTAAAAAAGTAACACATATTTATTATTATTATCAGCTTAATAATTTTTTTAATTTACTTAAATTAATTAATTAGTTTTTATATTAAGAAATGAATGTAATATTAAATTAAAAGTTAAGAATGTTTTTGCCCTTTTTAAATCCAAAGCCCGACCATTAGTTACGGCATTGTTAGAAGACCTTTAGAAAGCCCAATATGAACATCCATATGGATGCGGCAGAGAAGGTCGGGGGGGATGGCTTCATTGGCACGGCGGCTAATCCATGAAGGGAAGCTTACCCAAGCCTCCGCGCGGTGGTCATCGCCGTGACCGTGAAGACCAAAGGGGGAAATTAGGCGGAGGTATTTTCTTAATTTTTTGTTATAAAATTTTTTTTTCTTAATTTGTCTGGAAAGAAATACTCCTCCAGTCTTATTTATAAGATTGAGAGAGAAAACATTTTTTTAGTTTTATTTATAAGGTATTGAGAAAATTTTTTTTATATAAATATACAATTTTACTCTTCATTTATTATTATGTTAACTTTATTTACATGAAATATAGTATATATTAAACAAAAATAAAATTAAAAAATTATTAAATTTTAAATAAGAATTAATAAAATTTAAAATTATTCTTAATATAAATGAAATAATATTTTTTTCAATTTAATTTTGGGGTGCTATTAATGTTATTGCTACTCGGGAGCTCCTTAGACGGTGCGTGCAGGAAAACCCCCCTCTCTAGCTCCTAAAATCGAACTCGCTGCACGTTATTGCAGTCAAGCAGATTTGAAGGGCTTCGAACTGGAAGCGTCCTCTCACAGCAACAGAAGCTAAGAACAGGCGTTTCTCTGCTGGTAAGGAAACTCGTATATCTGACCGTAACTATTGGTTTCTCCTATGGGCGTGCGGATTATGCTGGATACTTCGCTGCCTTCTTGTTGCTTTGCTTAATATAGTTCTTGTTTTTTCCCCGCTCTGTATTGTGTTTTTAACTTATAATAATTCATGAGTTCCCTCACCTGTCACTGAGTAAGCACGAGCAAGAGCCGCCTCTGCCGTGGAATTTGCGAATGATATGATTTTTATGGATTTGCTATTTGCTTGCTTTGATGCGGCAGCCGAGTAATGTTACTGAATGATTGTTTCCATGGGTATTTCAGGTTTCGAGCGATTTGTGGATACAGAAGAATGCTTTCGCAGCGGGTGAAGAAGACCATCACTGATAATCCAAAGAAGCTAGCCAACTTGATTGACCTTGTAAATCTTCCCTCGACGGTTCGAGAATTTGTGGGTCAATCTCAAATTTCTCGGTTAGGCTGTTTTATGCGGGTTTGGTCCTACATCAAAACCAATAATCTGCAGGTTTCATTTTCTCACGTCTTCCTGTTTTACCTTTGGTGAAATCATCTTCTATAGAACTTAAACTTCATTTTCCCTTCAAAACATAAAGCATTATTGATATGCTCCCGCGGTTTTCTTACAAAAATCCATTTACCACTCAAAAATCAGATTTTGTTCTAATTTCATAAATAGGTACTAGAGCGTTACCATATGATCTTTGGACTTTGGAGAATCGAACATTCTATACAGTTGTAAGAAAATTGTAATTCTGAAGCAAAAAGATTTTTGATTGAGCCAGTAGATATTCTGGTTAATTTTAGAGGACCAAAATGGGGTTTTTATCTTTTCAGAAACATCATGTTCTCTGATAATTACTTAAGCTGCATATTCTTCCTCTGTTGTTGATTACGGAAGCATAAAAGGTTCTTCCTTCAATAAGGAGTTCCATTGTGTAAAGTTGTGGCATTGAAGCTGGGATTTTATGAAAAATACCCTGGTTTTGCTTCTATAAACATCCCATACTCTACGGGTGTTGATGAAAGATCACTCCAAATAGAGTAGATTTCTTCTGACATATTTAAACTCACATGATCCAACTTTCTCCAGCTTACCAGCCGGGCATAAAATGAAAGCCATGAGTGTAAAATATGTTCCATAGGGTACTGTGCTTGTTGTGCTGCAAGTCATGGGTTGGGTATATTTAACTTTAATTCATGATACTTGTCTTCAGAAGAAATGACTAAATTATGAGTTGTTCCTTTAATTTTTGTAGGATGCAAACAATAAGAATGTGGTGAACTGTGATGAAAAGTTGAAAAGTATTCTGTTGGGGAGATCTCAGGTCGAGTTGGCAGAGCTTCCTGAACTGATCAAGCTGCATTTCCCAAAAGCACCCAAGTAAATATATGATATCAATCACCTTGTCTGCCTATTTAGAAAGCAGCCTCTGGCGCTAGATGAGAATCCAAATTTGTTTGTATTTTTATTTTTTTGGGACGCTATCTTAATCTCTCAGAACATGATGGAGCAGTTGTTTCAATCTAACATGTTTGTTGACTACTCACATTGCTTACGGAAGAGGATCATGTCCTATTCCCTGTGATTACCTAAATAAAGGTTTTACACTAAAATAAAAGTGTTTTGGCAAGTGCACTGCAAAAAAAAAAAAAAAGGCGCTCATTTTATCACCTATACAACAAACATTATGAACAGTAGCCTATATTTCAGTCATTATTGAAACTGAAGTAGATAATTATTGAATAAATGATTGGCAATAATGGAATTAGTCTTGTGGGTGAGATGGAAGGCATCCCAAAATACATATTTATTAGCATCTGAACAGGTGAATGGATTAAACTTATCACACAAGAAACTCATCTCAAATAATCCTGTCCCGCAACATGCTGTGGCCACATCTTCAAATCCTGCATGGAAGATAACACCTAATTTAACCAGCAAAAGCATTTTCAAATGAAAATATTAAATAATGAGAAACTTCCTTACCAAAAGAATCAGGATTCTGGATGATATCCCAGAGGATGTCATAAGGATTTGAAAACACAAAGTGAATCCCAAGGAGCTTCTGATTCATTTGCAACACCAAATCTTGTAACTTGTGATTGAAATCTTTGGCCACATCGTTGTACTCCTTAACACAGACACTCCCAAACAAGAAATTCCTGGTTCTCTCTAGAGGCAAACACCCCATTGGAGGAAGCCCAGCTATGGATATTTTCCTTGCTCCTGCTTCATAGAGCTTTGCTATGAAATTCTCTGCGATTCCCAGAAGCAATTTCTGGTATTCTTCAACGGAGTATTCTGAAGATCTCTTTGGAAGTAAATAATAGTTCTCCAGAAAATCATTGGTACCTAGGCTGATTAGATATAGTGATTCTCTTGTAACCTCATTTGCTTTCTCTTCTCCGAGATAGTCGATCAGCTCCTTCTGAAATCCCTTGTAGTATTCTAGTTCCTTCCACAGAGGTATCACTGACTGAAAACAATGGTAAATGAGTACACTGTCAGTTAGAAATAAATATTAAAAAAAAATGAAATGAATCTCAACATGAATCAATATGAAATTAAACCATAGACTCTCTTAACATCAAAGAAACAAAAATAGAGCTAATTTCTACGAATATGAAAGTATGCTTCGATCTCTCTAATCCTATCTATCAATACTTAATTATATATTCATATCTAAACAAGAGAGAGGGTGGGGATGTGATTAAACTCCTCTCATACGTTTATTTCATATGCAGTAAAATCATTTCTAAAAAAAACTAATCCAAATACCAATGTTAAGTTAAATAGTTAATTAAAATTTTTTAAAAAATTCTTTTGCTATTCTTTTAACCACAAAAATTTTTAATTAAATGTTTTTTAAAATTCACATGGAGTGTGTTCAGGGCGCAAAATTATGTTGCATCTCGTTAGAGTTGGAAAATCAACTGGAAAGAAATATTATCATCCAAAATTTGAAATTTTTTTCTAAATTATAAATTGTACGATTGATCCGCTTAAAAAAATAATGCAGTTTTATCTATATTATATTTTGATGTCAATTGTATTCGGATTTTTTTTTTTTTTTAATGGAAAGAAGGTGAAACAGATCACTGATGTTCATTAGCCAGTATGATGATTTGCTGAAGTAGTAATGAAGAATTAATGATACTTACAAGGACATCGGAGGTAGCATTATCAAAGCCAGCACCGGCAGAAGCAAAGCAAACGCCGGTAGCGAAGTCGGAGACGCTGAATTTGGGATCCAAATACGCAGGAATTACAGGCTTGATCCCGAATGCCTCTGAGATGAAGTCCGTCGGAAGACGGCCGTTGCAGAAACGGCCGGTGGGTTCGCCACCGTAAAAATCTCGACCGTATGGTTTGAAGTTGCTCTTCAACATCGTCGATATGTAATTGTTGTTCCCTGCATCCACCGACGAGTCTCCGAACACTATAATCGCCGGAACCTTCATAGACGTGACGGTAGACACCGCAATTCCCAGTATAACATGAGCTATGACGAAGCTATCAATGGCTGATTTGTAAATGTTAGCCATTTGCCTCTTCGCCTTTGAATTCTTCTTCATCTTCTGATGAATGATCAACAGTCTTTGAATATATCAGACTTCAGACTGATTTTGCTTCTTTTGTATCAATTGGATTGTTGCGATATGTTTGTTAGTTATAAAAGGCAAATATATAAACACCATTTACGCAAGTTCATGGAATTATAATATATCAAGTCGGTCATAAATAATGCAATGTTATGACGTTAAAGTATGAAACGTTACATGCACACATTTACCATATAATTACCTCAAACAAACATGAACTCAAATTCAAGTCCTTACGCTTAAAGGGAAACTCACTTCTAGAAAAACCTTCTGGGTGAAATTTGTTTCTTATACTTTAGCAGGTTTTGACTAGGTTTGATTTGAAAATAATAATACATTTTTATAGAAATTTCTCACTTGAAATCATATAATTTTCAAGTTTTTTTCTCATTCTCCCATAATAAATTTGTACTTGCAAAGATACTGAGTTATAAAAAAAAAACATATGGTTGTAGTTATACGGTCATTTGATTTGAATTGTAATCAAACATTAACCCCTTAAATTATATTGTAGCTTGATATTTAAATGGAATTTATTTTACACACACACATGCTGCGTCTCCACCACATTGTTAAAGATATACTCCTCCGATCCTTAATATAAGACCCATTTAACTAATTTGATTAGATTAAGAAAGTTAGGTAAGTTAGTTAATTATAAAAATGTGACATGTTTTTTTTTCTAAAACACTATAATCATCTTTTATAATATCTCATCTCTCTCTTTTACTTAATTATAGTTGAGAGAGTATCCACAAGGATAATTTAGAAAAAAATTGATAAATATGATAAATATGTCTTATATTTAGGATCAAAACTAACTTAATAATTGAGTCCTATACTAAGAATAAGAGGAGTACAAGAAATTCAGGTTACAAAAGAAAATTATTAAAAAAAATGTATAGTGGCCATTACAAAACGTGGTTACGCAGCAAAATGGCGCAAATAGTTCACGAAGGCCGCGAGAAAGTTGGCGTACGTTACGTGTTGCACGGTCACGAATAAAATATGACTCACCTATTCTATCATTGGTTTAGCTTGTTATACCTTCCTCTGGTAAAAAAAAAAAAAGGCTTCTTATACCTTCAATCATCTTTTGTTATTAATATTATGAACATTTTTTTTTGGCTAAAACATACGCAAAAAACTGTCTCAAAATTACAAGGGTGTTCTAAAATAGATGAACAAAAAAGTTAAAAAGGACAACATGATATAACTAGAGTGTAAGTTTGGATGTGTGTTGATGATTCAAGCCCAGGGAATCCAAATTATACAAATTCTTACAATCTGCTGCCTCCAATACTTAAATATAAGAGCTAATTAACTAATTTGAGTAGATTAAGAAAATAAGTTAAGTTAGTTATTTATAATAAATACGTGTTATCTTTTTTAAAATATTCTTATTAATCAAGTTTATTGGCTAGACTCACTATTATTAGAATGACTATCTTAGAAAAAATAAATAAATATGAGAGGCAAAAAAGATTACGGTCTTATATTTAAGATCAAAACAAAAATTAAATTAGGTCTTATATTAAGAATCAGAAATAATATTTGGTATCAAAGAAATGGAGTCAACGATGCGAGTGTGACCTAGTGGTTATCTCACTTTATCCCTTAACCAAGTGACAAGGGTTTGAATCTTATCCTTCAGCATAAAAAGTATCCTGTGGCCAATCATCTAGGAGTGAGGATGGAAAATTTTTAATGAATTGGAGTTTAAAAAATGTGATTTTAAAATTTTAATATGAAAAAATGTAAGATAAAAGATTAAAAAAATTAATTAAAAACTTATAAGTTGAGAAATATATTATGTTGTTGGGAAATATTGATCAAGCAATTAACTTGTGTAATAAGATAGGATTACGAATTTCTCAAGTTGGTAAATAAGTCATTAAAATGATAATATTAAATGGTAATCAGCCAAATCAAAAGGTATTGATTCATAGCATGGATATGAATCCTTTAGGAAATAGATAGTCATTTCATATGCAAAACAGGCAGCTCCCTGTCACCTTGTCATTTGCTATGATAGTTAACAAAAGTCAAGGACAGTTTCTACATCATGTTGGGTTATTTTTATGTGAGCTGCTCTTCACACGTGGGCAGTTATATGTTACTTTGTCTAGAGTTGGATCCATGGAGGAATTGAAGATTATAATAAATAAATAGAAATGTAGTTTATCTTCTTGAAGGACAAAGGACGTTATGTATCATGAGGTATTTCAAAATCTCAATGCATCATTGGTATGAAATGTGATGAATGAAATGGTGAAAGTATGTGAGATGAGTTGATGAAATGGAATGTAATTTACAATGAACTGAGATAAAGTGTTTCAAATACAGCACGGGGAGCACAACCTAGTTTTTCTAATTTTAAGACAATCAATTTAAGTACGTGCACAACTTAGGGAGTGTTTGAATAGAAACCAAATCATGATTTAAAAAGTACTTTTACGGTATACGAAATAAATATATAAAAGAGTTTGTCTCGTTTTGTGAAAAAGTACTTCTAGAAAGTACTTTTATACAATCCCAAACACCTCCTCAGTCTTATCCAAGCGTGATAGGCAATGCTATTATTGAAGAAACTTGTATAACAACTTATTTTTAGTTAAGCAATAAGTAAGGCTCATTATTTATTTTGGTGAATCATGCAGTTTGTCATCAATAAATAATACTATCTCCGGTCCTAATTATAAAAAACTAGTTGATTAATTTGAAAAAATTAAGAAAATAAATTAAGTTAGTTATTTGTAATAAACAGGTGTTGTCTTTCCTAAAATATCCTTACTAATCAAGTGTATTGGTTAGAACTATTATTATTAGAAGGCTTACTTTGAAAAAAAAATACATAAATATTATAGACAAAGTGGATTGTAGTCTTATATTTAAAATAAAAATAAAAATTAAACAAAGTCTTATATTAAAGATCGGAGATAATATATTTTTATATTAATTAGGAAAATTGCGAAGCACATAAAAACGCTATAGTCGTCGTTTTATGCTCAAACGACAAGGGTAATCTCAACACAAAAGAAATCCCTAATTCTCTTGCCGAATTGCTTTGCTTCTTCTCCAAGCACGTCCTCCTCCTTGTTATTTCTTCGCTGTTCTGAGGATAGCTCCCTGCCTTCGTCTATAGGAATCTCATTTGCATTTTGTCTTGCTCAGCCTTTCCAATTCTTCGTCGTCTTCTTCTTAAGCGATGTTGGTCTCCAGGGTTTTGTCTCGAGTCTCCAGGAGTGTCTCCCGAAGCTCCTCGCTTTACTCTTCCTGGGAAAGGCCTCAAAACTTGACTACACTCTCCAATCAGTTTCATTCCCTTCTTCATCCATCTCCCAGTACGGTATGTTGCTATAATCAGTGGAAAGGATAATTTTTTCCCATTACTGTCTTGTAGGGTTTTGCTAGGGTTTTAGGAATTGGTGCTAAGCGGGCTATATTTCTACGTCGATTCTCTTTTCTGCATTCTCCTTGCTGGTTTGTCTTCGATTATGTATTGTTTATGAAGAATAGTTGTCTTTTTGATACTTTTTATTGGTGTGATGATGTTTTAGATTAGGATTTTAGCTCTGAAATACGATATATTCGATTAGAAGGTTAAGACTTGAAGTCCTCAGCGGGGAGTCCATGTTCAGGTTACAAGTTTCTTGTCCGTTCCACCCCCCTACTTTTGTTTTATTGCGTTGGGGTGTGTGCGTGTGCGCGCGTACTTATTTTTGTTTTATAGAATTACATGATGAATATTTTGTTGCTTAATTTTAGTTTCTATGCCGGAAAGACTTTATTTTGACCTTAGTTACTCTTTATGTCCAAATGCAGCAAGCCGTCCTTGAGCTTTTATCTTATATCTTCTATTATTTTAATTCATCTTCTGCTAGTGCTTTTAACTGGCTTAAGTATTTGAAGGGACTATTGCCAATAGGATTTCCGCATGGCATGCGTTTGTTTTGTAAATGATACTATGAGAATTAAGCGCATAGTGATCAACATTCGTTACCCAGTAATGTGCAGTAAAATTCTCGTTTAACACTCTACGTTTTCTAAAATGTCAGCTGATTCCAGCTCAAGTCAATTCATTGTGGCCACCTATAAAGGCCTCATCTACTCCAAGATGCGGATTTTCTTCATCAGCATCGCCCGAAACGAATGAGAAAGAACAGGGTAATGCAACTGCTGATTCTGCCAAAACTAGTGATGATGCAAACATAAGTGATCAGGCTGAAAATTCTGAAGCTGCAAATCAAACCCAAGAATCAGGTTCTGTCTCAGAATCTCAGTCTGAGTCTGTCAAACGAAGAAGAGGTACTAAGCGAACTGCATTTTCTGATTCAGATTCAGAGAGTGAATCTGATTTATCCAGGGATGACTTGATAAAGCTTGTAGCTGAGAAAGCAGAACTCTTGAAGTTGAAGCACAAAGAGATTGAGAAAATGCAGGATAAGGTTCTACGTACTTATGCGGAGATGGAGAATGTCATGGACAGGACTAGACGTGAAGCAGAGAATTCAAAAAAATTTGCTGTCCAGGTCCTTTTTTATTCTTTTTTAAATTTTTGTCTTTATGCTAGATTCAATGCCCCCAAATTATTTCCTCCTCAACTTTTTGCTGACTGGTGTCTAATGTGCTGTAGAATTTTGCAAAGAGTCTTCTAGATGTTGCAGACAATTTGGGGAGAGCTTCCTCAGTTGTGAAGGAAAGTTTTTCAAAAATCGATGCATCCAAAGACTCTTCAGGTGCAGTGCCAATCCTGAAAACACTTCTGGAAGGTGTTGAAATGACTGATAGACAACTTTCTGAGGTAGGAAGTTCTTTTTATGTGGTGGTTCCGTAGCTTTTAGTTGTGAAAATTGAAACTCACCCAGAATCCATATTTTTAAGTAATTTATATTTAAAGTTTTTGTGATATCACTTAACTCACTGGCTAAAGTATACCTCTTGAAGAAATTCTTTCAATTCCCATTTTGATGACGAGCTTATTAAGATAGTTTTTGCAACTTTTTGAGCACCAAAAAAAAAAAAAAAAACAGGATAGCTTTTGCAACTTGTATTTTGCGTCAATGTGAGTTTGACATATTGTGCTTTGCATTAAAAGTTCTTCTTGGGCTTACTCTTTGTTGTTGACAACTGATTCTCTTTTCAGGTACTGAAAAAGTTTGGTGTCGAAAAATTTGATCCTACAAATGAACCATTTGATCCTCACAGACATAATGCCGTCTTCCAAATCCCTGATGGCTCCAAACCTCCAGGCACTGTTGCAGCTGTGCTGAAGGTAATTTACATGCTATGTCGATATGCTGGGCATTTGCTTTTGTAGTAGTTTGTTGATAGGTGTTTGCATTAGAAATTCTTTTTTCTCAGACATTTTTCCTCCCTTAAACAGGAATAAACATGTTCTTTTTCTTCAACAAAAAAAAATATGTTCTTGTTCCTGGTCCTATTCTGTAATTTCTTTAGGCGATTGAGAACATGAATAAAGTCTCTCCCATGTCACATTTGCGGGCAGGATATACTTTTAAGATTGGTATTTTTTTGGTAATAAAGATTTTGCTTCAAGATTGGCATATAACTATATTTTACTCTGTAATTACTTTCTCATTAGTTGTTTCTTTTAAAGATGGAATTATTGGGGCCTTTTTCTTGGATTTATTTTCAATGGTTCATTATTATATTAGAAACATAAATTAAAGAGATGTCCCAAATCTATGTATACAGGCAGGGTATATGCTTTATGATCGAGTGATTCGTCCAGCAGAAGTTGGTGTAACCCGAGCAGTGGAGGAAGATAACAATGCGACTGAGAACGGAAATAACTGATGAGGGCTCTGGGAAAAAAAGTACAGAAATGGCTGAGTGGGATATTTTTGCATATAGTTCGAGGTACTTCAGTTTAAAGTTAAAACGGGAATCTGTACGTTTAGAAGCATGTTGATCTTCTCCAGATTAAAGGACCATATTTTCCACCACTCATGAGACTTATTCTTTTCTCCTGATCTTAGAAATAGACTGGTATTGTTTTGTAATAACCAGGCGCCATTAAATGGTTGGATTTTTGTTGTGCTGATGCTATTTAAGTTATACAGATTCATTATCATTTTAGTAAGATCTTCGGCTGGATGGCCTATGGGCCCTTCACCCAAGCATTTCAACCACCGCCACCTTTCAGACGCTCCCCCCCCCCCCAAAAAAAAAAAAGAGCCAAAAAAAAAGTTGAAATAACGACAGAAATCATTCTAATTTAATTGTTAAATCAACGTGTATATTACACTGAGTGTTAGGCTATTCTTGGACTGGAAATGATGGGGAGGAGGGGGTTTGAAGTACTGGGATTCTGGGAAGTCATACTGTGGTTGATTTTCAGAGTTAATACTCGTCACGAGTTGTGGGTCCGGTCAAATATAGACTTGACGTGTTTTTCATTCTGTGAAGATAAAAAAATTAAAAACTGAGGGTAATGATTTTAAAGATAATATAATTTTTGGTTTCTCAATAATTCAAGTTTTTATTAAATTATATGGATTAATGTTATAAATGAAAAGAAAGTTGATGATTAAAATTTGTAGTTTGAAATTTGATAAATAAAAATTAAAATAAGAATAGATTTGAAGGATAAAATTTGAATTGACTCAATTTTAGTAGTGAAAGGAAAACACTTGCATTATTCTCATTTTTCGTTAAATTTTTATGAAAGTACATCTGATAGGTCGAAATATAGAGTAGCATGGTGTTGTGGATATCTAAAACTAGCCACGGCTAATTTTATTGGCTATACAGATAAAATATTTCTGTTTGATCTTTATGTTGAGAGATCATAGTATAATCTATATATGGGTAAATCATAAAAGACTATTTGTTTCATGATTTTCAGAAGATTATAAAATTCATATTTGACGTTTTTATTTCATTATAGTATTTGAAAGGCTTATTCGTTATATTAAACTTTATATGCTCGAAGATGTCAACTAATGTTGTCAAGGGGAAGTTGATACACGCTATACTTTTTTTCTTGGTTATAATTTTGTCCCATTAGGTTTCTTAGCAAGGTTTTTAATGAGGCAGTATTACATACTACATAGTGTATTAATAAATGAGATACACTTTTTCTTTAACTAGGTTTTGTTCCCATAGGGTTTTTCCTGGTTGAAGTTTTTTAATGAGGTACATTCATATATATTGAACATCAAAGAGGGAGTGTTATGAATATAATAATATCTTTGTGGATGTTCATATATCTCTCATTATTTCTTATATCTCTTATAATCTCCAATATATCTCATTATCTCTAAATCTCATAATTATCTCATATTATTATGTAGTCTGTATAATTCTATCAAAAATAAAGTTGTACCTATAAATAGAGGCCATATATAATGTATTGAGTACTTTTGAATGAAATGAGAAATATCCTTTCTTATTGATTATCTCTTCTTCTCTATTTCTTCTTTATTTATAACAAGTTTGGTCTTTTAATTTTAAAAATATATTTGGTTTTTTATTCTAAAACTGTTAATAAAAACATGATGATATTGAGATTTTTAATGTTAATAAATATTCTAAAATGTTAGCATATTCTAATTGTTATAAAAAAATCATTATTTAACCAATGATTTTAGAATTAAATGACTAAAAATGTATTTTTAAAATGAATTAAACTAAAACCTTATATAAAGTTAAAGAAATATACACTTTAACCTGAATTATATTTTAAACTTATTGTCCAACAGTTAGATGTTTTTAGAATTTAAATTCAAATCTTTTGTTCTAAGTTTTCTTTAATATAAATAGAATTTTTTGATGAAAAAGAATTTATTATTGTCAACGGTTAATAGCTTATAACCGAAGGACACAAACTGAGAAACTGAAAGTTGTAAATTCAATTCCTTTTGTAATTTCAGATTGCTGATGCTTATCCTTTTAATTAAAAAATTGTTATAACTAATAATCCCATTTTTCCAAAGCATGGATAGCAGTTTTTTTAACCTCGGCATGAACAGCAGTTTGCTAGCCCATATATTCACTCACATCCTACATAACTTAGCTGCCAGTAATAGAAGCACGAATCATGAAAATTACGTGGCAAAAATATAGCATATCAGCCACAGGTTCATGTTTCAAACATATCCCTTCCCATTTCAGGCTTACATGAGCTGGTCTGAAGGAATGACCTAAAAATCTAGAATAGCAGGACATTATCATCTCGACGTTCAACATACAAATTCAGGCTATTTATTTCTGACAAGCATGCACCAAGCAGATTTAGTATCATGCGCTACTGCTACTGAGTGGTCTCAAATTATATATAATACAACAATCTGATAATGATAATCCCACTCTCTCACCCACACTCGCTAATCCTACACTAACGATAGGTAACCACACCAATCTATACAATAGTACGTGTTAATCATGTCGAGTCACAGAGCATCATATCATAATAAATCCACTCTATTTCCTAAAATACATAACCTACTTCTACACTAACTCAGTTTCTATCTTCCTAACTCACAGACATCATCTTTCTGGGGCCAACCAATTCAGAGATTCAGCTCATTGACTTCCCACCAGAACTTGTTCTTCATCGACGTTTTGACTGTAGTCATCGTCCTCACCTTTGAAGCCTAAAACAAGCTCCAACTGGTTGATGTTTGATTCCTGTGTCACCGATTGATAAGCAGGCCAATGTCATGTATCTTTAATGTGATATCACATACAAATATATAAATTAATATAAAATATAAAACTTATAACAAGTTACACTTTTACAAGACATAAATAGTACAATTCATTTCTCATGGTCTGTGCATGCACAGAGGGGCTGACTAGTGGCGAGAAAATATTAGTGAATAAATTTGGCTTTTGCATATGTAGAGCCAGTTAAACATGATTGAAAAATACATGTAATTTTACTGAAACGCGTGTCCAATGTACCCGATTGGCTCTTTAAAATTGGTTCAAGTCTTTGGCGGGAATGATTTCCATATTCACTAGAAACAGGGCATTGCATTCTCTTTATTGCATAATAATTCATTGCGAACGAATACACAGGGCACATCATTTCTTATGTCTAATATCTGTGTTAACGACAAAAGATAAGTATATCGAAACAATCACAAACATGTGAACACTTCAATACACTTTATTGTAAAAACTACTTTCTGGAATGTTTTCATTACTAGTTTGACTAACTAATTTTTCTGCATATGAAGTTTAGATAACAAATCTCTATATAATAAATACGTTAGCAAAGCATAGCTGGGAAACTACGCTTTAAGTAGATAAGTAGATTAGACAATCATAAGTACATTTGCAAGCATGTTATTTGTTTATTCATGATTAGGTTAACTACCTATTTTAAAAAAATTCAAATTTATCTAAGAATATCTACATGAAGAATACACCAGCAAAGCATAGTTGAGGAAACTATGCTATTACGCTAAAAGAAAGAGCAAATATCTACTATTAGCATGAATAAGAGAATAAAAGACAAACAAAGAAAAAAACATCAAAGTAACACCCTATGATGTGATATCGGCCACAGGAAATATGTTCATTCACTCTTAAATAATCTGCATCTTACATCAGAATGCCAACCTGACCAAATGCTTGGCACAGGTCCTCCATGGCACACTATCAAAGAGATTCAATAGAACCAATTGAGCATAATAAGAAAATGTGAGAGTTTCAAAGCCAGAGCAGTAGTATGCACATGCATTACAGGCCCGGCAATCCAATTCAAACAGTTCTACAACTGCACAAAGTATGTGCGGGCGGACGTAACAGAAGAGTAGCATAACAACAGTATAGATGATTCTGGAAGAAAACCATCAATATCTAACCTAGGCTTAGATTAACAGAGAGCTCTTAAAAAGTTATCAGCGTTTTGGATCAGTAACTTGTAATATTTCCTCTGCAAGTCTTCCCAAAATAAAACCCAGTTCTACTTCATGATAATATGATTACTCTGCAAATTCAGCCGCATTATTATGCAAATTAAATAATCAAGCAACACGAAAATGGCCAACTAAGCCCATGATCAAAAGCATAATAATGAAAAATATAACTACAAGCAGTGTGGTACTAGTAGAAAAGATGAAAATTAGAGAATTATGCCGACTTTGAAACCACAGAAATGTTCAAAACCATTCAGGACAGAGACGGATAATTCAGTATCCTTACCTGGGTCTCCTCCTCTGAGGTTTCATTCATGTTCAGCTTCCCACGTGTCTCTTGAGTCATAGTTGTTGGTCTAGCTGTTGATTGGCCTGTTTCAGTTGTTGGTCCGTTTTCAGCCTTTCCCACTGCCACCCTTTTCTGTTCTTCTAACACAGCAATCTGCACGATAGGATTGACCAACAATCAAACATAATGTAAACGATGATTCATGGTAATCATGATGCATAAAAAACAGGTTAAATGTTAATGAAAAGATAATTCAACGCTAGATTTTTCCCCCTTTTTGGATTACTTCTGTTTTTTCCCCCCTTGTTTGGAGGGTCTGACTAAGCAAAGCTAGAATTGTGTGAGTTACTTGCTTTGCCAACTCCAATTGAATAAAACTGAAGTCATACCAGCAAACCAAGCATGCAATGCATCAGACCCACCGCAAGGATAATAATACCCTGTTTCTTTTTTCTTTTTTTTTGGTGAAATATAATACCCTGTTTCCACTAGAGTGCAAACTTCAAAAGTTGATACCTAGGAAGCACGGACATCTCAAAAATAGAGCTGACATTTATTGAACCCTTGTATTACACTTCATGCAACTCTTTAAATTTCACTTCAAATTCTATCTATAGATTTACGACAGCGTATGATTCTTAGGTTTACAAAAAACCTAAACTTTATTCAAAAGATCGAAACTACCATAGAGAAAGATTTTGGTGCCATCAGTCTCTTGGTTACCAAGGACTCGGGGTAAGTAGGGCTCAACGGTTAAAGCAACTAATTAGTTATTAAGAACCTTATGAACAGTTTTTAAACTTTCACAAGTAGAAACACATGAACACTTAATACAAACCAGCGTCACAAAACTAGCAGAAATTTCCCTAACTTCAGTCCGTATACAAAAATCCAAAAAAAGCACAAAATCAGTTCATCTTCAAGCTTCATGCTATTATCGACAATCTTCATATAAAAGGGCCTCAATCACACTAAAGATTACTGTCCTTCCAAGACCCCAAAAAAGCTAGAAATCGGAGCTGTCTGAAAAATAAATAAATACAGAGTAAGGAGAGTATATACAGGAGTGTAGCGGAACTTCCTCCTGGGAGGTTCATCGGAGGCATTAGCGGAGCTATTGTCGGCAGGAGAAGCGGAGGAGGCAGTGATAGGGGTCCAGCGGCAAAGAAGAAGGCGGGAGTCCGAGCCGTTGGCGGAGTTGGAGTGGTGAGAGTTATGGGAGGAAACAGAGGAGGAAGAAGGGGGAGAGACGTGAACCCACTTCTTCTTCCACTTGCGGACTGGGCCAGTGAAGACGGTGGGAGTGCCGTAGCGGGAAGATGCTCGGCCCAACCGAGAGCCGACCGCCTCCATGTGTGGCGGTGAAGGAAGGAGGAGGGAAGGGAGGGTTTTTGGGAGGTTGACACGAAGGCAATCGGAGGAAGAAAGGCGAAGTGACAGCTCTGGTCTCTGGCTGACGCCCCCTGAGGACAACGTCCCTGTCTCGGCTTGAACTGACAACCAACTAAATGCTGACAGCGTAGGAAGATAAAATCCTCCTCCTCCTTTTTTTTCCTTCTTGGTTTTAAAAATGTTTTTGACTTTTGCGAAAGTGATATTTTAATAAATAATTTTTAATTGTCAACTAGTTGGCCAAAAAAATTTAAGGGGTATAGACAAAAAAAACAGAGAGCTGGAAATTGTGAAATTTCAGTTCAGACTACTAATACTTCAAAATCTTGGGAAAAAAGTTATGTTTGATATGGTATTTTACAAATATAGTTAGATGACTAAAATACCTCTATTTTAAACTTGTCATTATCAGTATATTTTTTATCATTTGCTATTCAAGACTTGTCATTATTAGCTTACAGTTTGTTAATAAATAATATGTCATTACCGGTATATTTTTTGTCATTTGTTCTTCAACACTTGTTATTACTAGTTTACAGCATGTTAAAAAACCTTTCAAAAGTAGGGCATTTTATTCATTTAATTATGTTTATAAAATACCAGATCAGACATCACTTGTCATTGAAGTGTTAGCTGCCTAACTTAAATTTCACAATTTTCAACTTTTTTTTGGTCATTTTTCCCAAAATTTAATTGTTTATTATCACTAAATGATACTACCTCCGACCCTAAATGTAAGAGCTAGTTGACTGATTTGAATAGATTAAGAAAATAAGTTAAGTTAGTTATTTGTAATAAATAAATATTATCTTTTCTAAAAATATCCTTGTTAATCAAATATATTGGTTATAACTAACCTCATTACAAAGATTATCTTGAGAAAAAATAGATAAATATGAAAGACAAAGTAAATTGAATTCTTATATTTAGGATTAAAATAAAAGTTAAATAAAATCTTATATTAAAGACATGAGATAATATATTCAAACTTATATACACACACATTATATTTTTAATCTTTAAAAAACATAATGCTTTTCCATGACAAAATGTCCATGGTCTTGGTCCACATGTTCTCCTTGCATAGAGGGGTCTAAAAACAAGTCAAATGATTTTGGGCATGTTTGGGGTCACATTTAGAGGTCCAAACGTGCATCCCAGCCGGAAAAGTAACAGGTAAGTTGAAAAATCATGTTTGGATCCACGTTTTGTATATCTGACTTCTGCCATTTAAACAAATTTATGCAATAAGCTTAAAGAAGTTGCTTTTACTCAATCTGAATTTTGTAAAAGTCAAATTGAAAAAAGTTACTTTTGCCACCGCTGTCCCAAATACACCTTTTATGTTCAATCACACGCATCTGATCTGGAAAAAAAATTAAATTGATTTTCTTTGTTGAAATTTAAAAAATCTACCTAAAGTTTTCTAGGTACCTACTTAGAGCTGGCCCAACTCGCCAGCCCGTCAAAAATAGTAGGCTTGGGTTGGTTACGAGCTACTTCAGCTCGCTCTGTCACAGGCTAACCAGCTTTTTTGTAAAAAAAATTTTATTTTTATACAATTCCCAATATATTATACAATATAGTTGGAGGATTTTAACCCTCAAATTTCACATTGACGTCTCGTCATTCATGTATTTGCATATGTAATACACATATAAAGGATCTTCTTAATTAATTTGGATAAAAATAGTTAAATTAATTATTTAGAAAAAATATGTGTTAGTTTTTCTAAAATATCTTCTCAAATTATAAATTAATCCTCATATTATTTTATTATAACCCACTACTTAAGTTTAAAACTTCAAATCTAATTTCAACATTTCAAATTAAACTCAACCTATACAAATAATAATAATTTTTTTAAAAAAAAATATTTAGGCAAGCCAGCAGGCTAGCCTGCCAGCCCGCCTCGAGGGTCTCAGGATGGCATTTTTCCAGCCCACCAAGGTGCGGGCTACTTCAGCCTATACCGCTGTCAACCCGCACCACTGTGGGTTGGTCCATATCCGCATCACCAACCCACATTACCAACTCTATACCTACTGTGATAATGTTTTACATAGAGAAAAGGAAATTGATCAAAATTGTATTCTTAATATAGTTTACAGAACAAATCATATAATTGTTATCATTTTTCATTTTATTGAAATTATATAAATTAAATATTATGGGTTGGATACCCTAAATAAATCTAGGTCAAGTGTGTCATATCCATTGTCAAGTTTTCCAATTACACATAATCATATATTCTTTTTTGTTTCTCATGTGAATTTATAATTAAATGTTATTATATGGGTTGGAGAATTTAATATAATGTACTGCTATTTAAAAAAATGGATGCGAAACACACACCTATGTATAAAAGAATATCTACATATCCTGTGATCTTAAAAATTTACTACACCACCATATGAAAAGAATCATGAAATTACTACCACCCATATTTAATATAAGAACTAATTTGACATTTAATTTAATCCTAAATATAAGATTCAAATATCTTTTTTTTTGGTGAAATAATACTCAAATATCTTTTGTCTCTCATATTTATATTTTTTTCCTTAAAATAGTCATTGTCTCACCAAATAGTAGTTCTAGCTAATACACATGATTAATAAAAGTTTTTTAAAAAAGACAACATCTATTTATTATAAATAACTAACTTAACTAATTTTTTCAATATATTAAAATTAATTAACTAGCTCTTATATTAAGTATATAAGGTATTACATTGTATACAACTTTTTTTCTTTTCTTTCTTTTTTTTTGGAATATTGCTTGAGTCAAACAGTGTTCCGACTAATTTTACCATAACTTGTGCATCTGAATTATCAAGCAGGCCCCTCCCCGCCAATTGAACTTGAACGCACGTCCCAAACACATACGCACACATTTCATCTGAAGTTGATTTCTTCGAACACAGTGTCAAAAATACCTCTTTATTGCTGTTCTTTGGAGACGGGATGCTGAGTATAATTACATGTTTCCTTTCTGAGACTTCTATGATTAATACTTCACCATATCTAACTATTCTCTTGTGGGGGAAGGCCATATTCAGCCAGAAAAAGAGAAAAGAGCAGCTCTTTAAACATCAGAATCAAATAAATAAAGTTCCTTATATCACTGATCTCAAAAGCAGTTCTCCTAGAACATTGGTGTTAAGCCATGCAATAAATGAAGTGATGCAATAATCAAACATATGGAGAAGTCTGAACCAGACCAACTTCTCCGGTCTCCACCGGCAGTTCTGAGAGTGAGAGGCTCAACATTAACGGACATAATGTAACATCAAGGAGATCACCAAGGTGGAATGTGTATGACTTAGATAAAATGCCCTTCACTTAATATCTGCCCAAGCTTTCCATAAAGAGCCTGCTGCTCCTCAAATGAAAGGTTCCTAGTTATCTACACCATTTCCAAAAGCACAAGTTAATTATTTAATTTTCTGGTGTCTCCAAACATACCATATTCCTTAACAGTGTCTAATGAAGATAGTCTTCTGGGCAATTACTTAAGAGCGTGTCTGAGTGCATGTTGGCATCAAAATCATGGTTTTTGTGATTTCTAACGTGAAACCAAACACAAATTCAAATGAAAAGTCACCTGATCCAGAAACATGTCGACTGAATAGTCTTCGGGGACAACAAATGATTGATGGTAGATGTACACAAAAACAGCCATTACCATCTGAAAACATGCAATAAACAATATATAACACGAGTCTCAAAATGGAATCTTCATCAATTGTATAATCTTATTAGCCAATAGTTAGTGAATACGAATCCTCTGTAGCCAAAACTAAAAAATACTCATAGATGGACATGGCTGAGCTGACCTCCATGTTAAATAGATGTCTGAGTAGTGATTTGTTTACTTCCTTAACATGTCCACATCAGCATAGTAGAATTGAGATTTTTTATTACTGATCCTTATTATCATCATTAGCAGAATAAAAGGGAACTTTCTAGCAAGGTATGTTGAATAATGACTTCTACCAATGAATGACTTCTTATCCTATAAAGTTTAACGGGGCACAAAAAAGAAAGAAAAATGTCCAATTTTTTCCCAACTCAACAAACAATGGGCTATAATAGAGCAAAAAAACTAAAATATAAACACACAAAGAAAAAGATCATAGCAGATATGCCATAATAACTTCCCCGTGATACAATGGAAGTGACATTAAAACTACAATAAATTGTAAAAGAGTTTTTCCTGTGGGGATTAATCTTTTACCTGGCAGTCCATTCGGTCAGTGAATCCGCCATGTCCTGGTATACTAGCACCAAAGTCCTGTGTCGATTGGAGGAGATCAGGAGACAGGGATAAAGTTACAAAAAAATCACTTGCCGCAAAGCCATATACGAACCTTGATTTTAAAAGCTCTTTTAAAACCACTGGCAAAAAATCCTCCAAATGGTGCTATGATGGAAGCAAATAGTCCGAGCCACAAGGCATGCCATTGTACTGGCAAAATTGCTACCTCTTTCCAAGGAAACTATAACATTTTGAAAAGGGAGTAAATTATCTTTCATAAATCTAATGATAAATCTCAGATATGATTATATTTAAGGATGGATCAATCAGTAAATTCTTCTTTAGATTTTCCTTTGGGGTGCCTCACTTGATTATCCCTAGATCAAGACTACAAAGCACTTCTAACATAAAAGTAGCCTTTTTTATCGGCCATCAACAGTCAATAAAATACAACGTGCTTCTCTTAATTTATTGCTAAGATCATATAACTCCCTCTATTTTGACTAAGAGATCATTCATTAACCTAACTGCATAACTTTTTTGAAATCTGAAATACTCTTACACTGTTGATGAAGGATATTTTAGGACCTTTTTATAGCATTTAATTCGCTCAATAAATTTTGTTCTGTAGTTTGCATTCAAGTGTTGGAAACATTCATGGATGTGCAGATCAAACTTCAAATTGACCTTATTAAATAGCTATCAACTTTCACTTACCCAAAAAGAAATTAATCTTGGTAAGGAGTAATACTCAGGCATAAAATGTGGATCAAGGTCACACTGAAGCCAACCAGTAGATAAATCCTGCATTTGTTCCACCAAATAAGCATCTCTATGAATAAAAACAGTACAAATATGTCTTTTAGGATTTGGGTTACAGCACATAAGCAAGATGGTTACCTTCCTTGGACATGTTAGCCACTGGAAGCTGCCCAAAATGTTCGCAAACTGCAAAAATAATGAAGCATTCAAGCAGATGACCCATCAATTTTCTTAGATTATCGGTTATGAAAAGTAATACCTTGGTGCTAATTCAACACCTGTGATTTATTTGCTAAAAACACCTTCTAAACAGACATCTTTAGATTTTCATCATGAAGAAATAAAAAATATACTTAGAAAGCTTTTTATGCTTAAAGAAAGTAGATCATGAGTATATGGACAAATCCTAAAATGCAAAGAAGAAACCTTTTTACGGTAATTACTGGGGACAAAACACAAAGATAAGAGTTATGAACTTGTTAGGAATCATAATCAGCAGCAATGACAAGATCACTCACCTCAATCTGTGAAATGCAAAAGATGAATCACTGCTAAATTCAAAGTTCTACAGGAACCAAATGGTCCTAAGAGAATCACATAAACAATAATTCTAACATCTCCAAATTTTGAGATATAAATCCGATAGCAGCTAGCACGTACCCAAGGGAACAGAACTTATATGATTGTCCACAACTCTCAGGTAAAATGATCCATCTTTCGATTGGAACCAAAACAGTTTAATCACCGGTATATCATTGAATCATCAAGTAAACAATGCTTACTGTAAATGAAGCAATCATGGTGGCAACAGATGCTCCGATGAAACCCTCCCATGTTTTCTTTGGAGATAACTTGATCAGAGGTGTTTTCCCAAAAAAGAAACCAAAGAAATATGCAGCAACATCATTGACGGCAATAAGTAATGCGGGGAAGAGAAACCTTCATAATAAAATTAACATTTTAGAAAACACCTTTATGTACATGAACAATGATAATATAACAACAAAGTAGTAGGTGGTAATATGGTTATCAGGAATTCCTTATTAATCATATGAGAAGACTTTTTTTCAGTTGCCCCTGGGCGATGGGGGCTCAGCATCATAAGATGATCACAGATTCTTAAAAATCATTCATTTTAATTCTTGTTCTTTCTACTCTTTTCCATTGTCACTTTAGGTCAATTACACCACAAGCTTCGTCAAGAAAATCTTTGAGCAACTATAAGTAAATTTACAAACACCTAATAATCATGTCATTAAAATATGATATACAACCCAATCTTTGTTTCATTCTCTGCTACATGGCAGTGCCAAATTCAACACGTAAAAAATTATATATATATATATATGTTCTAAATACTTTTGTAGACAAAATAAGTTCTTTCCACAAACAGAGCAATTCAGAGTTTAGACTTGAAACAATGAAGGAAAAGATCGAAGATAAAAGATGCATAACACGCTGTAGCTATCAGAGAACTTCTAATCAAATATTAAATTTATTAAAAATTTAAATAAATACAATCTCTTGATAAGTATAAATAATCATTATACTTTCCATATTTAAGAAAATGTTGAAGGTAAGTGAATCACTATATTTAAATGAAAGAGTCAGAGAAATAAAGCATTGTAGCAGTCATCATACCAGAATATCCCTTCAAATATATTGGCGACAATAAAAGCAGATTGGGTAAACACCACAATAAGTATCATGTGCGTCCATGCATACTGGCCAAATTGATACTTGTATGTCTTTTTCTTCAGTGAAAGTATAAACCATACAAAACCTGATAATCAAAGCAGGTGAAATGACTTATGAATGATCTTTTCGACATTACTGCAAGGTGGAAGACATCCGAAGCAGAAAACCAGAATCAGATCCTATTTTGCGATGCAGCAGAAGAAAGAAATGATGCTCCCTCAGAGGAAAACGTATTTTATCTTATTCCTGTCTGATCTAGGCAGACACAAACCAAAAAAAAAAAAAACTGCAAAAGATAGAAAAAACTTCCTATTGCTTGAAAGAAGCAATAACTTAGAAATTGAAGTTCTCCGGTAAAGCAGAAATAAATGTTACTCAAATAAAAGATTACAAATATTATCCAAAATATATTGACAGATTTGGCCAAGCACTATATCGCTTCTTTGTCACATTGTTTTTAACCACAGAGAATTCACATGGTTAGGTTCTAAATGGATAGCAGATACAATTATAATGGACTCAGATATTCTGAGGCATACATCCATTAGAAGTAGTATTGTCATTCCGGTTTCCTGATCAAATGAAGCTTTGGTTTCAGGATTGGTAGGGTGGGGCAAGAAGCCAGTGATATATTATTATTTATATTTGGAAAGCACTAACCTGCAATATATAAGAAATAACATATAGCCATCTGATATTTGATCAGGCTGCTCACAAGTCTATAGAAGAATTTATCTGATGTCACTGTTTTTACAAGCTGTTGGCGGAGTATTCGGCCATATACATAGAGCATTGCTGTGAAGAAAAAATGCCTGGACACTGTACTCAGAATTCATCCTGTGCGTTGTTCTTTAGTAAGGGGTATATTAAAGCAGCATGAAAGCTTACCAGTTCAAGAGCCTAAATCTGGGGAGGCGTCTATCTTGATGAACTATTCTCAGGAGATTGAAGAGCTCACTTGCCATAAATATTTGGACAACAACAACCATCGCACAGATGTAAAGATGACCCAAGTATATCGCAGCTGCAACACCCACAAGCATCCACAGAGATGAGTGTGCACGTACCCACATTGACCTATATTTGAATTGATCATCGACAAGTAACAATTGGCTTCCATCCGACCTGATTATCTCGGAAGGAATCTGTCACCAAAAGGTAAGAATTAGTTTCTGAATTCTCCAAAGCAATATTTAGCTATCTCATGTCCCTATTCCCTACCGTTGTGGCCCAGCTTTTCATTTGAATACTTGAAAGCATAAGATAAGTGATTGCATAAACTATATGTAGGTGTAAGTTGCAAGACATAATTAGCAATATAAATTCCTGAATGAATCACAAAAAAAATTATCCATGAGCTTTCACTTGGCAGCGTAACCTTTAAACATTCACCTAACCAAATAATAATAATAATAATAATAAACCATTTCTGATGATAGGATCCTTGATGCACTTTTTGTTTCTTAAGAAATGTATAACTCCTCAATAAAATGTTCACCTAGATAGGAAATAAAGTGGAGATGTTGTACATTGGGATATAATACATTATAACATTTCCGAAATCTCAATAGTAGCAGGTATTATAATCGCAGCAATGTCATAGTTTGTTGTTAGTCACTGCAAATGAGAACTAGATTTGGAATCACGAGGTTCCTACCTAAGAACAAAGACAAGCACTTGTATAAGTCAATTAAGAGATCACACCAACCTCGTTTGAGCGTCTTCTTTGCCGAGCTCTCGGTGTTCGTGGTGAACTACAACTCTGATCCCTATGCATCTCTCTTATTGTGGAAGAAGTGATGCTTGAAATATTTATTTTGAGTAATACACACACATGTATACGGATTAACTTTCCTGAGACATCCGATTGAAGATTACAAAACTCAGAACCAGGATATGCACGGAAAATATTCCCCACATATATAACAAAAGAGATCATTCTTGCAATATCAAAGTGTATATACATTAGGATCATAGATCATTGTCATTAAACTGATGCATTTCACAAGTATCATCAATATGGCATGCATATTGAAGAAATTGAATCCAGAAATGGGATCGCTCTTGGAAGATGATAGGAAATTATGAAGAATGAAGGAAGCTGCAGTTGTAATATCCATGACTAGTTAGAGATGAAATTAAAGCCATACCTGAGTTGATATAAATAAAGGGGAAAAAGAAGCAATGAGGATGAGGAAGAAAGCTTAATCGCTGAATGTGCTTTGCTCTGTACTTTTTTCAGCGAGCGAACGAAGCGAAAAGAGAAACACGACGCGAAACCATGCCCAGTCAGTATGCATGATAAACCTCCTTTTACTGCGGAGTCACCTGCGCCCAACGTAATGGTGCGCTTTATATAACGGCATTTGGATTGTGTTTTGTTTTTCTTTTTTCATCAATCCTAAATCTTGGATCTCACGTGTTATTAGACCTACGGTTAAATTAATTATGTATAATAAACATGTATTAGTTTTTTTTTTTCAATCACCCCTTAACTATTACTCCCTCCCCTCCTATTTATAAACTTTAAATTTGAAAAATGGTATGATTTATTTTATAAATTTCAATTTGAGTTTGTCTTATTATTTAATATATATTTTTCAATATTATCTTTAATTATTTCTTTCTTATCACATTTTCTCACACATTGTTTTTCATCATTTTTCTCATTTATTATAAGAGTATATTTGAAAAGAGAAAATATATTTCTAACATATTTATTATTTTAAACTAATTTTAACTAATTATTCATTACCTGTAAATTAGTTATTTAAAGTTTATAATAAGAAGCGAAAGGAGTATTTTCATTAATTAAGGCCCTAGGCATAATTAATAAGAATAATTTAAAAAAATTATAAATTTAAAAGACGAAATCAAAATTAAAAAAAAAAACAAAGGTTTTGGAATTATATGCATGGTTGCTATGTCAAACAGAGGCACATTTCCTACATGCAGATGGACTTTAACTTAAAACCTTATACTTAAGCGACCTTTCCACTAAGATCAAAATAAAGGAAAAAAGATAATTATCAAATCAGATGTGCCACCTTAAATATTGCTTAATTCAATCCTACACAAGCAAATCAAACAAAGCCAACTTTGTAATTGTGAAGGGAGTTATATTATATATAATGCTATGTTGGTAGCACGTCAGAATCATCCAAGAAAAAGTCATTATGCAACTTATAATGTTTAATATATCATCAACTAAAAATTATGCCTATTAATGCACAAGAAATGTTTCTGTGTACCTAAATACTCATCCTGTCACTTTTTATAAACAACATTGAAGTGCATAACATAAATTAAAAAGTTAGTTAAAAACATTAAATAAGTAGAAATTAAAAATTTTTTCTCCAAAATATTTTTATTTAGAGGGGAGAGGGGGAGTATAAGAAAGAAAATAAAAAATTTATTATAATAAAGAGAATTATGAAAGAGAGAGAATGTGTATAAAGAGAAATGATTGTTTAGAAAATGAGATAATAAATATATTGAGTCTTAAGATAAGTAATTAACAGGGACAAAATAAAAAATTTGTTATAAAAATTTAAGATAACTTATAAATATTACTTATATTTAGAAACATGAAAATAATGGTCTTAGTAGTTTATAAAAAGACAGACGGAGTATTAGCTTACAAGTTTCATCAAAGATTGTATCCATAAACTGTATTATTACGAATAAGTTTACGTGCCACCAAGTGTAACATTTTCAGGGTCGTTGCATAAAACTTAATAAAATGTTTAAAGAGACTTGAAAGAATAAAAACTTTGGCACGCAATTTGATGTAATATGTATTGAAATTTTTAATAATCAATTTTAAATTTTATTGTTAGTGCAAATTATGAGACTTTTTAATTTACTCCAAAAATTACTTTAACATTGACTATTACAATAATAATATTACAATGATTTCTAAAAAAATTATACAATCTAATGTTTTTAATATAAAAGTTAGATAACTAATTTATAAATATTAAATAAGTTATTTAAATTAGTTATTTGTAATAAATAGATGTTGTCTTCCTTAAAATATCTTTTAAAATCATATACTTTGGAATGAAAATCATTTAACATGTTCATCACTATATAGGGATTACTTTGAAATAAATAAATAAATATGAAAAAAAGTGTATTAAGTTTTATATTTAGAATTAAATTGAATTTTCAACCAGTTTTTATATTTAGGAGAAAAAATAGTATGTTCCATTACTCTGCAATTTTTAAAATGTTTATAAATCCTGTTTACGGCAAAACATACACTTGGAAACTTTTTTTTTTGGGTATATAATTGTATAAATAAAAGGAGGTACCCCTATTTATAATAATATGGTAAAAAAAATAGTAATTACTCCATAAGACTGAGAATAAGAATGAGGACAGCTAGGAAAACGACATGGGTTCGCTATCTTTATAGTTATGAGGGCCACAGGATTGGGTGGGGCCTGATTCGCACGTGATCATCGAAGCATAAGGACACGCCAAGAACGTCCCGTCTCATGTGAGGCAGCGAGCGATTAGTCAAAGTACCCTTTAATTAAATCAACATTTTGATATGCTAACTCAACAACCGTCCGTCTGTTTGAATAATTACGTAATTCCTAATTCCTAATTTTCTTATTATACGGATCATTAATATAAAAATTTCTTTAATTTTTATTTTAGTTTTAAATATAAAATTCTAAGTCACTTTATCTCTTATGTTTATCTCATTTTTTTTCAAAGTTACATTTACAATAATAGTAGTTTTAATCACTATACTTGATTAGCAAGAATATTTTAGAAAATACAGCATCTATTTATTACAAATAACTAACTTAACTATTTTTCTTGATCTACTCAAATTAGTCAATTAGCTCTTATATTAAGGACTGAAAATAGTAATTTGGGATTTTTTTTTAACAAACTATTAGCTGCAATTCTTAATAAAAAAGCTAGTTGACTAATTTGAGTAGATTAAGAAAAAAAGTTTAGTTAGTTATTTGTAATAAATAGGTGTTGTTTTTCCTAAAATATCCTTACTAATCAAGTTTATTAGCTAGAACTACCATTATTAAAAACATTGTCTTTAAAAAAATAGATAAATATAATAGATAAAATAAAAGTCAAATGAGATCTTATATTAAGGATTGGAGGTAGTAAATGTTATCTTTTTTAAAATAAATTTACTAGTCATGTATATTATATAAAAATACTACCTCCAGTTTTAATTATAAGAGCTAGTTGACTAATTTGAGAATATTAAAAAAAGAAATTAAGTTAGTTATTTTTAATAAATATGCGTTATCTTTTATAAAATATCCTTGCTAATTAATTATATTGGCTATAACTACTATTATTAAAAGGACTATCTTGAAAAAAAAGTATAAATATGAGAGATAAAGTGGATTGGGGTGTTATATTTATGACTAAAATAAAAGTCAAACAAAATCTTATATTAAGGACATGAGGTAGTATCATTTAATGGAATTTTTAACATATGTAACTACTACAATGAATACTTTGAAAAGAAATAGATAAAATGAGAGACAAAATGAATTACAGTGTTATAGACCAAATTAAATGTTAAATCAACTTTTATATTAAAGACAAGAGGAGGAAATATCTTTTTTGTTTTTCATTTTAAAAAAAAAAACTACTGGGGTATTTGTGTGGTGCATAAGCGGACTTAAAACCAATCCAGCCAACTCGAACTCATGTCAGCTAAACGAAATTAATTATTTTAAGGGCTGAATTTAATACTCAACACACACACACACACACACACACACAACAAAAACAGCAACCAGAGGGACCTGGGGGTGGATTTGATTCATACGTAGGAGATTAGAACGTGGAAGATGATTGTCTTGCAAGGGAAAAAAGTTAATAGCACCATATTTAATCTTTAAATTTTATTTTATTTTAATTTTGATTCCTAAAATTTAAAATCTGTGATATTTGGTCTATAAAATTTGACTTTATTTTGGTTTTGCTCATTGTTTCAGAGATAAAAATATCATTCAAAGGACTAAAATTCTTTTCACTGATCAAATGACATCAAATTTTAGGAAAGAAAACTATTAGTTTTAAAATTTGGGGCTAAAATCAAATTTTAAGGATTAAAAATGATATTAACCTAAAAAAAATTACCTCTTTCTTTATGAATTTCAACATATGTTTGCAAGGCATCTCAAAAATAATCTGCAAGTTGGCTTATTCAAAGCTCATCTGGAATAATCTACAGACAGTTTTTCAATATGATTTATAAAATACAAGATAAATATATGAGAAGAATTTTGTTTTGATTTATATAAAATGTGCTTATAAGTATTTTTAATCAAGAATTCAAACAGGCCCATAGTTTTCTTGTGTTTTTCTTTTCCTTTGTAGTAAAAAAACAAATAGTGACTCAAAATTAATATTTTTTTCGGTTCTAAATATAAAAGTCAACTGTAAAATTTCCTTTGATCCAAAATGTAAAGATCTCAAATAACTTTTTCTTTTAAATTAATATTTTTCTCAAATTATTTTTCTGATTTGAAAATATTTAAAAAGTTTTCATCAATAAGCAGTGTCAATATAAATCATGTTAATACACATAACTAATCTAACAATTGTCTCAGCCCATAAAAATTACTGTAGTGGTTACGTAGCTTTATGAATGACTAAATGGAGTGTGTTTCAGCCACTTCCAACAAGAAATTTAATACGTCCCAATTAATGAGTAGCCATCAGCCAAAGAGCTGCACAGGCTTAATTATGAACTTCCATCAATAACTCTCACATGTTCCCATC